AGGTGTTCAAACCCCATGGTCTTTGCCCAGGTCTTGCCTTCCCCCTGTCATGCATCCGGCCTCCCCGGGGCGGCCGTCGCTGTGCTGGGCTACAGGCCTGCCAAGGACAGAGACAGCCTGAGAGCAGAACTGGGGTTTTGTTACACACAGCGCAGGTCCGTTGGGCACCAGATCAAATGTCAGTGCAGGGTTCAGGGAGGCAGAGGGATCTGCCGGGAGTTGATGGATGATGGGGAGCAGAGGGTCGCCTTATTAAAAAGGATTTTGGCTGCCGCAGGGAGCGGAGAGCAGTGGGGTTGGTGCTGGGTTAGCAAGGGTCAGGGAGGGAGCATGGATGCTTGTGTTTGCAGGCGTGGAGAATAGGGAGGGATCATTTCAGATCCTCCCAGGCATAACTCAGATGCTGTGTCCGTCAGGGCTGTTCCCCTCCAGCTGGTGGGGTTGAGTGGTCCTTTGGATATTGCAGGGTGGTATATCCAAAGTGGTGTGGGGAAAAATTAGAGATACAGAGCAAATCAGAAGATAAAGAAGGTGACTGTGTGTGTAAATATGCTAATCAGATTTGGACCATTAGTTCTTGCTGAGCTGAAGGCAGCAGCACTAAGCAGAATAGAGGCAGGAGTGGTGTGAGCTTCCCAGTGCAACTCCCAGCCGGGGGATAAAATGCAGCCGTGGTCCCTGGTGAGCGGGGATTGCTGGTGTGCTGGGCCAGGGGCAATGTTTGACTAAAGCTGGGATTTCTTCTTCTGTAACTGTGGCAAAGAAAGAGTGAGAGAACTTAATTAAACTCCCGTGATATATAGTCATGTAGCTTGCAACACAGAGTATGATTAAAAATCCACATTCTCATTTCTGTTACCAAGAAGCAATTTTCTTTCAAGAATTTTGTTCTGTTATTCTATAGCTAGTGCCAGCCCAAAAACTGTGGTTTCTAATTACTAATGGGCTTTGCTTAACAATCTCGTAACATATATGTCACTGATAAATTAAATCTGAATCTAGCTAATGAAAAGGTCAGCTCTGAACTTTACTAATCCTAAGCTCTAGCAATCCAGTACTTTCATTAATATTTGTGCTGTAGAGAACTTAGGGACTGAATCCTGCATATTTTGAGAGGAAACCAAATAGCTGAGATGGATGCCCTACTACAGCATAATTTCACCTGGAAGATAGACCAATAATCTAGGATTTGGGGCTGTCATCCTGCTACTATTTATGAGCAATTTTAATATAGTAATCACATGTAGGGAAAATTGCTTGCCAGATTTATAAGATAAATGGACATTTGGTATTTTTTTTCTCCTGTTTCATTGTCCAGCATCTTTTTTACATGCTTCTGGATGCAGCAGTTTACAAGAGAAGAGTCTAGAACTTCTTTTCCTCTTGTGATACTGACATTTTGAAACATTTGCTCACTGTAAGTAAAAGGCAGCTCATTTAACAAACAAATAAGCTGTCCTTAGAGCAATCAGTATTTACTATTAACTGAACAGCACAGTAAATAATGAATTGCAGGTAAAGAACTACAGATAAGTATTTGCAGTGAATTCACATTACCTGACTTAAGCCTAAGGCTGAGAAAAGAGAGCATGAAGATAGAAATGGGGGGAGAAGGAGGAAACCGAGAAGAGACAGACTCTGAAATGCAGCATCTTTTCTCCCATTCCTGTCGTGTAAGAAGAAGGTCTCCTGTGGCTGTAGGGCCAGGGAGGCTGCCCAGGCACCTGCAGCTCGGGGTGGGTTTGGGTGATAGAGCTGGGCTTTCCACTGAGGTCCAGGTTTTGTACGTGGTAGCCTGGCACCTGCTAGACCTCAGGAGAGCGTTGTGCTTCGGCACTAGCGCCACCGACACCTGCCTGCAGCTACCACATTGTTGTGCAGCTGCATCACTTCTTTCTCCAAATTATTCGAGCAATTAAATTGTCCTGTTGCTAGGAACTGGCAATCAGTGAGAAACACTGCTCTGGAGTAAAATTTTCGTAGGACAGGGACGTGGTGCAGCCTGCAGTTTGGGCAGGCAGCTGTGGTTTGGGATGGGGTGGATGGGGGTGGCCAGAGGACCCTTGCTTTTGCCAAGATAGGAAGGGGCTCGTGGGCACCTAGGTGCTGGAAATGACGGAAGGGGCTGCCGATTTAATCTGAGAGCCGGAGCTGTGATTCATAAACCTGCCCAGTGCCAGCCCGGGCTCTGCAGCACCTTAGATGGGGTTAATGGTTTGACATGGGCCGGAGGCTGAGAAAGAGCAGCTTTGGAGCCGCAGCTTCCGCGTTGCACTGCCCGGGCTCATCCCTCCTGATTCTGCCCCGCTGGAGACACAGAGAGTGAAGTGCTGCAGCAATAACATTTTGGACTTGCCTTTGGACGCAGCCAGTGGCTGTGTGAACACAGAGCATCCTCAGACTTGAAGTGCCCGCGGCTCCTGTGCGGGGCTGCCGAGCCCTGCATTAGTATTCGAAACAGGGAAAGAGCTAGACAGGCCAGCTAATTACAGCGGTCTGCAGAGAGAGCGCGTCCGAGCACATGATACAGGATACCTTTTATCCAGTGCATTCTTTTTTCCTCTGTGACACTTTATTTAAATATATATATATACACATATATATGAACAGATTAGTTAGCCCCAGATTAGTGGGCTTCATTAAGGAATCAACCTCTTTTATTGTTTTTCTTGAATTTAATATGAAACTCATGTTTTGTAACAGTCACATAAAGAGAGTAACTTCTTTTCCCTGCCTGTTCCCCAGCCTGCAACCCCAGCATCCACCTAGCGCCTGCAGTGGCAGCTCCCGTTGCTGCTGGGAGTGATCCCATTGTATCCCAGGGTGAGCCACTCTGGTCCCCTGGGTGCTCCAAGCAGATGGGGGGAGAAGGGAGTTTTGCTACCATTAATGCGCCATCTGCAAGCGGTGATGCTGGTCAGATTTTTATGAGCATAAATTGCAATTGTGATTTGCTTTCAGAGCATCTGTCTTCTCATAGCTGGCACAGAGAGGTGTGGAGTACACGGTGAGGGGCCGGGGGAGCTGCTGCATGTTTGCAGGAGGTGGCTGCACACGGCAGGGACTGGTGCAGAGCAGGAACTGCGCTGGGTGATCCTGCACCTACGCTGCGAGCAGAGGGACAGTGAGGAACCGACGAGCCCAGTGGCCCGAGTTTAGGAGAGGTTTGTCCCTCAACAGTTAGAACTAGCAGAAATCAGACAGTCAAAACACCTGCTGCGAGCAGGGCAGAAGCTCTCACTGTGCTGAGTGCTGCCCTTTGCACCCAGCGGCAACCGTGGGGCCTGCGAATGGTGGTGGCCACGCCGGGCCCCGGCTGGCCCGCGGCACCGGCTCCCCGCCGCTGCGCAGCAGCCTAAGCAGATTAGACAGTGTCTCCCATCAAAGAACACTCAGTGCCTAAGAGACTTACAAGACATCTGGTTTTTAGCCTCATTTCTAAATAAATGAGGCTTATGTGATTATACTGTCTGTCTATTGTCCCGTCGTTGGCCAGTTTCAATCGTGACCCAGGGATTTTGGTCTCAAAGATGTTAACTTCTAGTAAATTTTTCATGACTTGTGACCAAGTACACAAAAGAGATCCTGTTCTGTCCTTGAGAGAAACGGGCCACAAACGGTGCCTCATCTCAGAGAACTGACATGACAGGGAGAACCATGAATCGAAGGGAAATCTCTGCATCAAACTTGCACTTCGCTGAGGTCCAGCAAGCCCACCTGTCAGGAGCAGGACCCCCCGCAGGGCGCAGGTCGTGCGGGTCGTGTCGCTCACGGTGTGTGTTGCTTCTGCGCCCGGCGTTCCCCAGCGCTGCCCAGGCCCTACGAGGCCTCGAGACAGAGCTGCCCCTCCTGCCTGGCCCCGGCAAACCAACAACCGACGCTTATCCAGGGATTGATGTTCTGAGCTGTGGATTAACCGAGCAGTGTATGCAAAGATACCAGGTCTGTGCAGGCCAGGCTTAGGCTGGAAGTGTGTCACCAGGCTCACGTGGCTCTGCCTTTGGGCTCGGTGGCTTCAATCAGAGCTGGATGGAGGATGCACATCCTGCACCCCACAGCTCATCTGAGCAGGGGGCTTGGACATAGCCTGGAATACGTGGCAACCAAGTGCTGCTATTTCCACTGCCACTGCTGCTGGTGGCGTTGGGTCCTTACCTGCAACATGGGTAACCTTGTCTTGAAAATTGCTCCTGACAACCAAATTCTACTGAGATTACTGTCCTATAAATACTACGTGCTAGCAGATATACAGGTACAAAATGTATCTTACACTAGTTAATATGTCACTGAGATACTGCAAATGATGATGAAAACTGAAATCCTCTGTATGCTCCCATTTGTAGAGTTCTCTCTCCTTTACTCCTCCGTGAGTTGCAGTTAAATGCTCATTAGAGCTGAAATTTTCTTCCTTTTGGCAGACTAACTGACATTTTTCTTGTAATGGAGAACCTAAGGATGTATAATGGGTTGTATAAAACCTACATACAGTAGTTCTGGGATTACAGAAGAAAAGTAAAGGTTTCATGTTCTTGTCCTTATTAGTGAACTAAATTGGATTAAATGTCCTTTTTTGAACAGAAATGGAAGATAAAAGACATAGGAGATTTATGAATAGGATCATTAGTGTACCAAATTTCTCTCATTAGATCTGTTACATCGCTTTCCAACTTGCACAGTTCTCATTAGGAAAATTTATGAACTGGAATGATTACAAATACGTCTTATTTTGAACCATCCCTTTTTTTAAATGCAAAACAAAAGGTAATTATACTTCTGTGGTATACCTAATTTGTACTTTATGCATGTATATATTTCTTCTATTATTAGAGATTTAATATAGGATCTTCCAAAAGCCAGAGGATGGGGTGAGAGAAGAGGGAATTGTACCACTTAGTGCAATTTGCAGTTTAGCTGCAAATCCTGAAGCTTGGCTTTAATATAGGAACCTTACGAGAACCAAGTTAATAATGCACACTAATATGGCTGTGTCTTCTTGCTAGACTTTCATGTTCACCTCCGAGCATCTGATTTGATGTGACGGTGAGAGGAAGCACACGGCATTGTTCATTCTGCTTGGACTCCTTGTTTACAGAAGAGTGATGGAGGTGCTATTAAGCACAAAAAGGATCACCATATGCCTGATTTTCTTTGCATTGAATCTGGCAGCAGCTATTGAAATACCATTATCAGGTGAGTTGTAACTATTTACTGAACAGTTTTCTGGGAGGTGAGATTTTTTTTTTTTTTGTCTTTTACCTTTCCCTGAAGAGGAAAATATTAAATCCTAGTTTCAGTTCCAGTTCGAATTTAATTTTGCTAGAACATGGCCTTTAGGAAATTCATTTGTGATAAAAATGTAAGTTACTTTCTTTGGACCTGTTTAAATGCAGCAGTAAACTTGTCTAAAAGCATATATCTGATGTCTAAGATCCAGTATGTTGCTTAGCTCTGAGGGTTCAGTTTTGTCCTTCACATAAATATCCCTTTTTGTCTTGGAATCTCCCTGAAGCTTGTTTGATGTACATGCACCCTTACTAACTTGCCTTGCAACCTGCTGTTTCAGTTTGAAAAAGGAGCAGGTGTACATCTCGGGGAGTACATTAGTCCCCAGACAAGTATTTCTTATGACTTGCATACCACCCTGGGGAGCTTCTACTTTATCCACTTTTGGCTATGATGCATTCAAACTGCCTATTTTTCATGGTTGGTGTGGCTCCAGTACATGTGTAAATTATGGGATGAGCTTCCTCTGGGGCAATACAATGAAAGTCAGTGGACCCCATTGCCTGGAATACAGCCCACACCTCCCAAACCTTGCATTTTTCACACGTAAATAGACCAGGAGAATTTAAGGACTAGAGTTTACTTTTGGGGAAACAAACAAACAAACAAAAACCTCTCAGCAGTATAGGTTTTGAATGAATTATGCAGGAAAGAAAAAAAGAAGAAAGCCAGACTCTTTGCAGGAGCTTGGGTGCTGTAGCCACAAGCCAAGGCGATCCTGGGCCGTTTCTAATCAGAGAAGGTCAATGGGCAGTTTCAGAGCATCCTATGGACTTCATCACAACCAGTTAGAGCTGTGGCCTCTCTCACGCTTTCTGGCTGGGAAGGAGACGTGCCCCAGGTGCATATTATTCTGAAGTTACCCAAAGCTGTTGGCAAGCATTTGGAGGTAGAAGCTCTTTGGAGGTAGCAGCTGCGGTGGCTTCTTGTAGTTAAATAGAGCAAAAGTGGATCTGTGACCATAGCATGCGGGGCAAACACTGTTTTTAAGCACCTGCTCAGGGGAATCCTGCATCCCTTAATATGCTTTAATGAAGCATTTTGTATTTTAATAAAAAGGAATTATGTCTGATCAGTGAGGCTGGTGGGCTTGGAAGGATTTAGCGGAGGTACAAGAGGGTTGAGACTGTGTGGTGTGGTGAGATACCATGTTTTGCTCGAGCTTTGAGTTTCCTGGACTTAAAAGAGAAAGTAAAGAGCATGTTAATTTTCTTCCTTGCTGTTTGCAGCAACACGATGATCCTATTATCTCTCCCCGGCTGCACCACAGGGGCATTCCCAATTGTGCCTCTCCATTACCCAGGCTTTCTCAACACTTTAATTCCCTTAGAAAGTTATAGTGAAACACCATTGCATAACTGTGCGATTGGCAACATTTTTTTTCATGCTGTACCCTAGAGCATGTATTAAGTCATCTATGTAATCCATGGATTTACTGGTAATTTTATCCAGTACGGAAATAGCAGTTTTCTGTGTTGGGGTTGTGTGCTTGTGAATGCATGTGCCTGTGTGTTAAAAAGCCAGTTGTTGCTAACTTCACCACTGCCTAAGCTCAGCAGTCCCCACAAAACAGAGGTGAGCAGGTCCTCTGGCAGCGCGATGCTCACGCCTGTGTCGCCCCGTTTCAGTGGGGTGTCTCTGTGCAGTGTCCTGCCTTGTCACTTTGGGCTGCAATGAAGGGTTTGTGCAATACTGCAGCCCCAGGCGTTGAGTTGCTGTGTTTGTAAACAAATGCAGGGAGTGCTGCAGGAACTGCTTCGCCAGGCCTGTAGCTGTGGGTTGAAATCGTCATTTGCGTATGCTTGAGGCGTCTGAAGATGTGAGAAGAGATTCCCCCTGCTTGTCTTATTTATAGTGAGGATACAAGTGGTTATCAGGCAAGTAGTTGCCTGACTAAAAGGTGAGAACAAGTATAGTATCACAGTTGTCAAATGCCAGAACTGTGTGTGGTTGAAATGCAGACTCCCATCTGTAGGGGCTGCAGGTGGCTGTGGTGTCTTCTGAGATTCTGCCAACTGGGGAGAAGGATGAGGGAGGCAGCAGGAACAGTAATTTCAGGGCAGCCTGTTAGATGCCTCTCGCTGTCATGCTGCAGGAGCATGCTACAGCCTTTGCCCCGGCGGCCACGTGGAGCAGACCAGGTCTGAGGTGACACCATCCCCCAGACCTCTCTGCCTGCCAGAGCAGGGGCCCGGGCCTGTGTTCCTCACCAAGCGTCTCCTCCCTCCTTGCTGGTCACAGGCAGCAGCTTTGCTGTGGGCAGGGCCTGGGCTCAGGAGCCAACACAAGCATGTGACACTGAGCGTGGGGCCACGAGGCTGTCCGTGGAGCATGCCAGTTAGGTGAGGCTTCGTGAGCAGGTGACCAAGGTGAGGGCGCCTGTAGGTTAAAGTAATCATGGCTAGCAGCCAGCAGATGGAAAGTGTCCTGAGCAGCAAATGCTGGTGTGGTCCAGGGTATCCACAGACCTGTCCATCTGCTACCTGGATGAGACACCTGCCTTTAGTGTGGGTTGGATCGAGCCGTGGGTGAGGACAGGGAGGTGGGTAATGGTGCAACTGTGCCCGGCCGACCGATTTCCTCCCCAGCTGAGGCTGTGCAGACCAGGCCGTCAAGGCCTTCTCTTGGTGCTTAGGCAATGATCATGCTCAGTTTATAGAGCAGCGAGTGTTGTCAGTGCCATAGAAATGATGATGGTAATCCTTTTTTTTCCCCCTTTTTTTATAAGGCCAGGCTCTGTTTGCAGGAAGAGAGCAATCCTAACCTTGTCCCTTCCGAAGAAAGACCTGGAGCAGAGCGCCGCTCTGTTTGAATAGCGTGTTAATCTTCTCTTTCTGTTCAGTTGCGCAGCTCCCGACGATCACGGAGCAGTCCAGCATGCAGGTCGCCTACCCTTTCGATGAGGACTTCACCATCAAATGTGAAGCTAAAGGAAATCCACAGCCCACGTGAGTACTGCTTTCACCCAGAGAAGCAAGTAGAAACTGAGTTTGCTTTTAGCCTTTACTGAACACTGTTCTTTCTTCCTTGAGGAACAAAGGAATAGCTGATGGACAGTAACCTGCTCATAACATGAGGCTAGGTTAAGCTTTGTGTTGCCAGTTAGGCCATTCAGCTTTTGTGGCTTGATCTTTTCCTCTCATTCCATAAATGGGTATCAACGTGCCTTGCTAAATTCACCCAGTGATTTACACGAGCATGTTTAGGCTGGGCTGCAAAAGATATGAGGTGTGTAATGGTAATCAAAGAGTCACAGCTGCTGTTCTGCCTTTTTCCACAGCAACCGTAAAAACACCAAACACATGAAACCTGGTATTCAGAGATCATATTTGCGTTTTATCAGCTACCTCGTCTACACCTAACAACGTTGTGGTGGTGGTAGTGTTGCAAATAAACATAAGCAGTTATTCAAATAAATATAAGGAGTTCACAGATAAAGATACTGTATTTTACAGCAGCATAGAAGGGGAAAAGATCTTTTTATGAAAATGTGATTAACAAAAATGTCACGATAGAAGGTCTCCTTGTGACTTCTGCAAATTAATAGCTAGTTTGCATGTCACTTTCGCTGTTTAAAGTTCTATTCCTTTTCTTTTTCTCTGCAACATAAGGAGAATCTTGATGGGGTCAGCTGAGCTTCTCCTGGCCTCAGCTCTGGTGTTTCCCACACTTGGTGCAAATAATTCCTACCCATCCCTGGCAGGCAGAAGGATGAGGACCTCCCCGATGCCCACAGCTTTGTCACAAAACTGTCAATTCTTTTCTTCACTGGGTGGCTCTTGCTTTCAGACAGATGGCATCCTTCACTTAGTGTCCTTGCCTTAAGCTTTGTGTTCTTGTTTCATGTCACAATCAGTTAGCCACAAATGAAGGGGGCAGTTGGAGAGACGTGCCCAGTAGCTGACCTGTGTTATGTTTAACACATTGCTCATTTTACTAGCCAGCCCTGACTTTATAATCAGTTTTGTCTTTTGCTGTAATATAGGACATATTTACCCCAGTTTTCACATGCACTCTATTATTTGAGCTGTCCTCTATAACCTTTGTATTTTTTTTTTTTTTTCAGTTTCAATTGGACTAAGGACGGAAAACCATTCAATTTATTGTCTGACCGTAGGATACTTACCTTTAACAATTCTGGAACATTTGTGATTCAAAATCATGGAATCATCACCAATTTCCAAGGGAAATACCGTTGCTTTGCATCCAACGCTCTGGGAACTGCCATGTCAGAAGAAATGGAACTTATTGTTCCAAGTAAGAATTTTTTTTAAAGGTGTAAAACTAATTAAATAGGCAAAGACTAGTTGCTAACATGGTGTATAGTAAAATGTTTGACAATATTGGAAGGAAAAATATTAAGGGCTCCCTGGAATTATTTGATCTTCATTTTCAAAATGGTATAGGTGTCCTCTGTATTTGTGTGAGCATCTCTAGAGAAATTCTTGAAAGTTTGAAATTCAATACCCTTCATTGTGTTACCTTTTCAGACAAGGAGGACTTGAGAAAATTATTTTAGGGATAACTCTTCTGATTTGCTTCAGTGGGATTTTGCAGTGCAAGCATTTAGAAGTTTTAATGCTGTATCACTACAGCTGTCCAGCCCTGTCGTGAACAGCAGTGCAGTCAAGCATCCTCTCCCTGATGTAATACCCTGGTTTGATGAATTTTCCTACATTTTGGAGAATTGTGAGGGGCTCACCCCATAAAATTGTCATCTGGGGATTCAGATGTAATCAACAGTTCAGCTGCTTCTAAATTAATCTGCCAAGTAATACAAGGCTTGCTGTCTCCTTCCCAGCCTCACTAAGGCTGTCCCTAGAGCTCTGTGCTGGGGAGGCTCAGACTTGAGTAGCTGAAAGGCAGCACTGGGGCGCTGGCCATGCTGCCTTCTCCCCCAGAGGTGATGATCATGTGGAGCTGATCCACAAAATTCCTGATTCCTATTTTTGAGGAGGAAAATCTTTGCATTTTCTAGCAATGGTACTGATGCTGCCTACCTCTTTTAATTAATACAAAAGTGACTAGATAAATTATGTATATATTTTCCCAGCTGTATTAATTTTGAAAGCTTTTATTGTTTTCTTCTGCTTGCTGAATATCTTCTACCATGCTTTGCCTCTAGAGGATAGGCCAGTGGGTGAATTAGTATAAACTTTTTAGTAGCCATCTCAGGAGAACTGAATCTTCAATGACAGTGAAAATTATTTTCTTTGACTTGACTGTTTAAATGCCTTTGTAAAGCACATGCTTTGCCTGTTTCATAAGCCCATAAGAATTGTTTCCTGATTTGCATTTTCTTAAAGCCTCTATTTGCTTTCTTGGTGCTACTACTTGTAATTCTTGGCTCATTCTGTAGAGAGGAAAGCATAAACATCGATGAGTTCTGTACCCTACCTAGCCAGAGAGCTGATGATCAGCTGTGAGCTGATGCCAATACAGCAACAAAATAAATTGTACTGTTTGGAGAGGTGAAACAACTATTTCAGAGATAACACAAAAAAAAGGCAAGGTAACTGCCATCCTAACTGCAGTACATATACTGCTTTCAATATTAACTGTTCAAGAAAGGTATAATGGCATACATCATGAAATAACGTTGCACATTAAAAATGCATCAGGCAATAAAGGATTAAGAAATAATTGTCAGAAAAAGAAAAATTGGTTTGAGTCAAATGACTTTGAGGAATTATTGTAAAAGGCCTTTTGGATAAACTTGAGTTAAATTTAAAGTGATACCTCTAATACTATAGAATTTTTTTGGAAAAGAATTGGAAATTATCTGATAATTTGACTTTCTAAATGTGTGTTGGAAACCCAGTGCTGCTAAGAGCTGTAAGGCCGTAGTATTTTAGCTTGGCAGCTGGGAATGAGCGTGCAACAGTGCGAGGCCGGAGTGGCTGCAGGTCGGAGAAGGGCGGCACTGCAGCCTGCAGTGAGCAGCCGGGGCAAGGAAGGGGAAGGAGCAGCCTGTTACAGCCGACCTGCCAGCGGCAGAGGCCTGAAAGGTGCCGGGGGAAGCGATCCCATCAGCTGCAGGTTCATTAGCCGGATGTCAGCAGCATCCTGCATTTGGCAGAAAAGGGGAGCCATTAAAGACATGGAAATGAGCTCATGGTAAATGAGCTTAAAAACATGGTAAAGAAAGCTCATGTAAGTGTGGCCTCTGTTGTCAGCACAGATGAAAGGAGGGAGAATTGGGTGACTTTGTGGACCAGGGTTGTAGAAGGGAGGTGAATTTTACTGATACAAAGCTCAAGGTTGTGCAGTTAGGCATTGGTTAGAACAGCATTGCTGCAACCAGCGTTGTACCCATAAATGTAAGCACTTATGGTGTGGATAGAGCAGGGAGGATAAGGTAAGATCATATGTCAGGTGTTCAGGGTCTGCATGGGTGGCCGAAGGTATGAGCTGGAGAAACTGGTCACCTATTCAAAAGAATGACGTTCAGCTGGGGTGGGGCAGACAACAGTATGATCTGATTATGGGAATGGATTGTATAGAAAGAAGAAACTAGGAAGATTTCAAAAACTATTTCACCAGCTACAGCAAACTACTTTCATCAACTCAGTGTGGAAGAAATAGGATATGAGAAACATGCAGAGCTGTTCTAACTGTGTGTGGTTTTAGAAAGAAACCTGAGGAAAAGTGCTCCAGGTGTAGCTGTGGGTGGAAGGGGCTGTGGCACCATGGTCACCTTGGGACTAAGGCACATAGCAGAGGCTGGCAGGGCCACGGGAAGGTGCCCTGTACGTGTATAGCTGTGAGCATTCCTCATGAAGGACAGGGTGTATGAAATTTATTTCACATCAGCTCGTATCTCACAGCATTCTCTAAGGAAGCATGTTGGTGTTTGATGAGGAGTTACCAAGATCACATAGATCCCATGGTAGAGCAGAACTGCGTGAGTGGGAGCTCCGCGGGTGGACACTGCAGCCTTGCACCCCCTTGGACTGTGTTTGAAGCAGGATCTGAAGAGCAAGGCAGTTACCCAGAGCTTTGGCAGGATATAATTAATCACTTTGCAATCTGGCCAGGGCAGCAGGGTTAAAACTTCTCTTAGGAAAAGTATCCCAGACTCATTAATTTTTGAAAAAGTTCAAGACCTCACTGTTACATTTCAGGGAAATTATGTCACCTCCAGCAGCAGAATATCCTGCCACCACAATGCTGCCTTGTTACTGAACTATAAAAGATGCTTAAAAATGGAAAACAAGAACTGGCTAATGTCTGTATCTTGAATTATTGATTCCGTACTCAAGGCTAATAACTTTTGCTGTCTATGAACACTTGTCTAGACATTGATGAGAGCTGGACAGAATTTCCTTCCCAACTCGTTCTCCTTGCTCCTGTAGGGAGGACAGACCTGGTTTCACTGTGGCCTTGGTCAGGTTGCTCATGAACAATGTGTGGTAGTTTGTGAGCTCCAGCTCAGTAACTGGGGTGGTTCTGCTTTAGAGATGCACGAGTGGCAGATTTCAAGCAGAGGAGCTTCTCTTAAAATGAAACTTAACTGCAGATTTTTTTTTTAACCAAATTAGCAAAGCAGTCTTTTGTTTCTCCACTGGTAGAATTCAGCTGTGAGTGAATCAATATGCTGAAAGGTGATTGAAAAAATGCTGAAAAATAAATTTCTGGTGTTCCTCTTTTGCTGTCCTTTGTAACTCTTCCAGTTTGAATCCGCTGCATCCATCTTTATCTGAGCTTGGCTGAAGGCAGCACCCAACCTGAGTAGGTTAATTAAACAGGCCTGAGGGGAGCGCACAGCACATTAATTCAGAGGTTAGAAAGAAGATGGCTGCACAGCGTGAGAGGAATTTCAGAACTAATAAATGTGAAATCCTAAATTGAGAAAATAAATAAACAGTGCAGATAGTTTAAGAGAGATTCTCCCAACTCCCGCTGTTTTTAAGGCACATTTGCTTTTATTCATACTCTTCTGCTACTTTATTTAACTGTGCACTGTATATACTGCAAATTAAATCAGGATTCAGAGAGTAATAAAAGGACACTTTTGATATTCTGAAGTGCTGGATACTCAACAGCTCTCGTCAAGTGAAAGAGAGCTGCTGGTGCACAGAAGCTGTGTAAATTAAGCAGTCTCCACCATAGAAGAGCTTGGGATAAATTAACTTCATTCACCAGTAAGTGCTGAAGCAGGGACCAGTACATGTGAGACCACTATGTGTATTCATGGTAACGATGCAGAGGTTGCAGAGCTTTGCCAGCAGTATTCAAGTAAAATGTAAGCTACTTGGCAAGTCACTATGCCAAGGAAGCAAAACAAACAAACAAAAAAAAAGAAAATCGAGTCAGACCATCGGAGTAGGCTAGTTTTTTTCATAAATTACATTTACACTGCAGAAGGAGAACCAAGGATTTGGAAGGAACGCGAGGTTGCTGCTGACAAGGAGAACAAAAGGTTGTTTACGCTCAGTAGACAGTCCAGGAAAGCAATAGAAATGTCAGCAGAAATGATCATTAAATGTCACCTACATAATGAAAATAGCACACACACCCCTCATATCCTGCTGTTAAGGAGAAAAGGGAATGATGGGGCCTCAGCATCCGTGCATGTCTTGTATCATTGACAAAGTTCAGATTGTTGCAAGACATGCATGGAATGAAAATGAATTGCAGTGCGGAGGACATAGACACCAACCTCCCTCATCCGTGTTCAGGGAATCTGCTACTTGAATGCCAGAGGGAGGAGGAAAAAGCACAATTTAAACATCCTTAATTAACTTAATATGAGAGACCTTTCCCAGCATACTGCATTAAAGTTTATGCTGAGCAATTCTAATTCTTTGCTCTAAGAGGCTGAAGACATGAGGAGGGAAAGAGCCTAAACATGAAATTATCCAGTGGCAACCAGCACTGTGTCAATAATGTCAGTTCTGCACTGCCCAAAGAAGGCAAAATTTGTATTTAATATTCAAAAACATTGTTAAATATTGCAAAGTAACTACTGATGGTCTTTTAGCTATTAAAGTAGGAGCTGTCAGTAACACACTTTGTGAAGGCATGCTCATTTTATTGAAGAGAAGACAGATGAGAGTAATGTGCTGAGCACTTGCACACTGTGGGAGTAAAGCTTAAACCTCCTCCCTCCTACACCAGCTCCCTGTACTTCCGACACCTTTCCCACCCAGCTAAATCATGGAGGTTGTTCTGACTGTGGCCAGGACCCATAATTCTAGGTAGGGCGATAAAGGGAGATTTACACCCGATGAGGGACTGTCACTGGTTACCTTGGAAAAGCTCCTTGGAAAGCGAGGGGACTGACTGCTGCAGTCTTGTTGACAACCAGATTTCCCCATCCTTTTCACTTGAATGCAGCAATTAAAAAATCTGTGAGTAATCAGAAATCATATCTCATAAGCAGTTCAAAGGCTGCAGTGAACATCAGGGACTTAACTACTGCATGTGCTATATGGGCCCAAGTAGAAACTGCTGCACTGAAATCAGTCTTGGGAACTGCCCATGCTGCGCTCAGTGCAGCTCGTGCTCGGTGGCTCCATGTCACTCTGTGCTTCTGTGCTGTGTTGGGCTGTTTGCTGGACCAGGTATTGATTGACAGGGGCTGGTCTGTGGAACAAATGGGTCAGGTGCTAATGAGGGTGTCTGAGGAGCTGGGAGTTTCCAGGATATAGAAATTTCTTGACCGAGTTTGCTTTTCTCTCATCCTTATATCCTTATATCCTTATATCCTTATATCCTTATATCCTTATATCCTTATATCCTTATATCCTTATATCCTTATATCCTTATATCCTTATATCCTTATATCCTTATATCCTTATATCCTTATATCCTTATATCCTTAGGAAATTTCTTGACTGGCTCCACTTTTCCCTCATCCTTATGTCCTTTAAGGATTTCTCTACATGGAAGAAACTTTAGACTGTCCATTACAGATAAGGCTAAATATCCATTTAGCTCAAGTTTAGCAGAGTCCAAAGCACAGGGAAGGCTGTAAAAGCAGATGTAGTGTATAGTGGTGTTTCCCTGTGGTAGTTTCCCCAAATATTTCTTAGTTAATGGTTTACTGTAATGAGACACAGTAGTCCCAATAATTTGTACATTTTCTCTTTTTCTTTCTCTACTTCGACTTTTTAAACTTTACATATAAAATATTAAATCCCGTGTGCTCCCTTCTCATGCAGACTGGTAAGAAAAATCACATAGTCAGGCAAAGTATAGCTGTGTAAAATCACTGTGATAGCAATAGGGCAGAAACTAAGCAGTGGGACAAAGTGTGCCGATCATTGCCTAAAAGTAGTCCTGTTGAGGACCAAAGTATCATGACTGAGGTTGATACATTGCATAACCTGTACTGCTAAACTCAAATTTGATTTTTTTTTTTTAGACTGTATTGGTCTTCCTCCTGTTATTTTTCATTGAAAAATGCTGTTTACTGAACGGATAAAAGCTAGGAGGGAGGGAGCCAGCCTCCTTTCTGAAATTTCTCCTAGCCAACTGAGTTTGTCAGTGGTGTTTCAGCCTAATCTCAAGCACAGTGTGGTCATTAAACTTTGAGTCACAAAAGGGATTAAGTCGAGGCTGATCCTTTATAGAAATGACTGGACATTGATAATTCTTTGTATTCTTGGTTTTCCCCCATCAAAGCAGTGGGCTTTGCTCTTCGAGTGCTCAAGCTTCAGCTAGGACAGCGAGGACTGCTTGGCCAGGGAAGCCTTTTCCCCGGGTGATCAGGAGAGCTTTCCATGTCACAGTGCTCATTTAGAAGATGCTCCTACACACCACAAGTCAGGAGTGCAGTTTTTATCCTCCTTGTGATTCTCTTGTACGTCGCCTGATTGCTCTCGCAGTACCGCGGGGCTCCCGGCGTCGCGGCTGTGGGAGGCCCTCCCGTTAGAGCTGCGTGTGGGGAATTGCACTGACAGTTTTAATGGTATCACTGCAGGGAGATCAATTGGTTGTGAATTTTACAGTGTCCGTGTGCTGCCTTGATAACTCCATGCGGCATTAAAGCCTCCCATCATACAATTAATCTTGTACAGTATGTTAAAGCTCAAGTCAGTTGCAGTTGTATTTGTAATCAGTCACAAATAGAAGTGAGTGATTCTGAAGTGTCCCCTATTGCAACGGAGCTGAGTACTGCAAAAAATGCTGCCTACATACATGAACTAAAGGCATACGTGTACTAAAGGCTATCGTATTAAAGCTGAAGTCTAATACGATATTTGCTTATGAGTCTCAATAAACCTCCTGGTGCAGAGTTCAGAAGCAGTTCTCATTCTAGGCACTGAGACAGATTGGGTCTCCGCAAGTGAATCGGTGAGGCATTGGCCTAAATTTCAACTTAATATGATTGTCAGAAGAACTTGGTTCAAGAAATTATCATGAAAGCTGAATTTTCCTCTGCAAGGATTCAAAAAACTCCAATTTCTGCCCCAAGGGAAATTTAGGAGTTTTCAATGGTTCTCACAAAAAAATGAAGCAAAACAAAACAGTGTAGAACAAGCCAGAAGACCCAGCTACCTTGTGCTTCAAGTGTCTCTCTTTTTTTTTTTTTTTTTTAATAATTCTGTAATTATTGACTAGAGAAACTGACAGGACAGGATCTGAACAAGAGTTCCCAAGGTCAGCATTGAGCCATTTGAGGGTTAGTCTAGTTGTGGATCTCTTTGTTTTATTGAATTTAGTCAGAAATCTCCTTCCTTTCACCTGATCCTGCTTTCTTAGGGTTTTGTTGAATGTGGTACACTTGGGAATAACAAGCAAGTTTGGGATCAACAAACCTATTTTTTTCTACGGTTCCAGCACTCCAGCAGTTGGCAGATAGACTTTCCAGGGCTGTCGCTTGAAGAGCGACAGTTACTAAAGGCATCAGATTTAGTTGTGCTGTTCCATCTATTAGCTGAAATCCCACCTCTAGAGCAGATGATGTTCTTTAGCCCATGCAAAGAATTCATGACATATTAATAATCTAATTTCTTTCTCGAGATTAAATCTGTGCACAATCAGCATGCAGACAATCAGTGTTATTGCGATTGCCTGTTATTATTTACTGCTCAGCGATGTGCAGAGCCTCCTGGGAGCCACGGTGCTGCTGTGCTGTGTTTGAGCACAGCCACGCTGCTCTCATCCTCATGAGCCGTGGTTAATTCTGCAGTTTAATGCAGTTGCCTGAACTGAAACTTGCGCTAGTTTGAACTTGCCTGGGATGAGAGCAGAGGCAGCATCCACCCTGAAAGCGTCTCGGCTCCGTTTGCTGACGGGGTGGCTGCGACCTGCAGCTTGGGTTGTTGGCAGGGAGCTCCGAAGGGCGGCCTCGCTCGAGGGAGCTGTGGCGGCCACTTGCCGTAGGTGGAAGACTCGCACTTCATAGTACTTACGGGCAGCCTGCTGGCATCAGCAGTGACTCTCTTGGCTATATGGGTTTAATCAAGTCCTTGATCCATTAAGTGACCTATTTTTAAGCCAGAATACTGGAACCTTGCGTACTCGTGAATATTCTTTGGAGGAAAGCCAGTCTCTGTATCCTGCAGGACAAGCTTGCTAAGGGAGCCTGCAGAACTGCACAGCCACTGTGCTGTGCTGGAGGGGATGAGGAGGCAGAATGGCCCTTTTTATCACACTTGATCCACTCTGGCAAGAGATTAGCGCAGGGACAACTCCGGGCACCAGCCAGAAGAGTGGTCTCATGACTGTCTTTGCTTGTATTGACATGCAGTGGTGCCCTGGGAACCACATTTTAGTTAGGATTTTGTAGAGCATACCGCACCACCAGCCTGTTTCCTGCCCCGCAGCGAGCAGCGGGGTGCCCAGCAGTCTGTGCCCTTGACTGTGCCCTCTGAGCCGCTGGCTTGGCTCAGTCCTTCCCTTCCAAACAGTACGGAGAGATGGACTAGAGAAAACATTTGACAATAAATACGTTAAAATTAAGTCTAACCAAAGCTTATGCATGTTACAGGTGAAGGCTAATACCACCATTCAATTTTTCAATTTCATTACTCCAACCTTTGTATTCTATGAATGAGGAATGCTAGCGGAGATTTCTTACTGTTAATAAACTGCATTCTTACTGTAAGTCATTGTATAGATATAAGCAACTAAAGACAGCGAATGCAAATGTAAGGTAAGTATCTTATTAGGATGTATCCTGAGGGGATGTAAAACACAAAATTTTAAAGGATACCAATAAAAGAGAAACTTTCTTTTTCTGTATAGCTGTGCCAAAATTCCCAAAAGAAAAAATTGAGCCCCTTGATGTGGAACATGGTGATTCTGTGATTTTGCATTGTAACCCCCCAAAAGGCATCCCACCGTTGCATATCTACTGGATGAATATTGGTAAGTAATCAATTTGCACGCAACTCACGTGCAGAGAGTCAAAACATTTGTCTTCTGATATATTTTCATTCAAAATGCATAAGTGATGGAAATAATAATTGTGCAAATGCATAGGAAAATGATCTGAAAATTGAAAAACAAAATTCAAAAATGGTGGATGGACATATATCTTTATATAGCACACAATTAAGTTATAGAATGTATTTATACAACATGATATTAAATCTGTAAGTTGAGGTAAATTAAAAATCAGGTGAAGAATCTACCAGTAATGATAACCACTACACTTCCAGTGGGGAGAGCTAAATATATCAAAATACATATTTCTATCATTATTATTTTCCTCTTTGCATAAACTAATGGTTAATTTATGACATGAAGAAAAAAAGCTGTCAGGTATGCATAATTAGTTCTTTGAGGATTTCTCTTGCATTCTTCTTCAGCATTTGTATTCTGGAGGAATTTCTGTCTTGTGAGAGGCAGAAGTAACTCTGATTGCCTTCACGACATTCGGGGTTGGTTTCTAATGCTGACCAAGTAATTTCAGAGACAGCATGCCAGATTAAACCTCTGATCTTAGAAGGCAGTCTCTCTGCTGCTGACATACATCTCTACTGCATCTGGCTGGATCACCAGCGAGACAATACAATAACTTTAGCATATGCTTCTCTGTTATAAGCTGTAATATGGATTATCTCTAATATGGAATCTATAGTGCAGAAGGACAATTGCTTGAGAGACTAGCTATAGGAGAAATCTATAAATTATGATCTCCATATCAGCATTACAGCCCTTTGAATCTTTGAAAGACACTGGAATTTTCCATGGTCCTAACCAGGAGCTCAGTGCTCAGTGTTGTGTGTTGAATATGAGTAAATAACTCATTGGCTATGCTGGGCCTTCTGCCTCTCTTGCATCAAAGGGGTATTCTCTATCTGGAAGTAAACATATGACAGGGAAGCGTTAGTAATTGTATTGGTGAAACAGTTCAATATCATTACCATATCATAATTATTTTTTCTTCCTAGATTTGCAGCACATTCCACAAGATGAAAGAGTCTCCATGAGCCTTAAGGGAGATCTCTACTTTGCAAACGTGGAAGAAAATGACAGTCGAAGTGATTATTGTTGCTTTGCAGCATTTCCAAGACTGAGGACGATTGTACAGAAAATGCCAATGACACTGAAGGTTTCCCGTTGTAAGTCTGTGGATGAATTGGTTCCTGCTTTTTGTTGTTTTTCCTTTTTAACTCCCCAGGCGTCAGCAGAGGCAGATGTGTGCTGTGTGTCTCTGATATGATTCTCTCTGAAGATAATACACATTATTATGCTTAATCCTGTATTATTAACCTTATTCTAGGGGCTACTCCAACTGATAAAAGCTTTTTGCAGCTGTTGGGCCCCAAAATGCCCCTGCATTCTCCTGCTCTCCTCAAATCATGATGAATCTGGGAAATCCACATCTAGGGTAGTCTAGCTGATCACCAGCTTCATGGGATCTTGAAACATCTTATATGGCTTCCTTCTCCCTGAGCTTTAGTCATTGCTTAGTGATGAGGCAGGGAAATGTGACATTAGGGGCCAGCTCAGGAGTACCGTCAGGAGGAGTTTGTTACTCACTGACACGGTGTGAGATTGCTTGAAGGAGCCTTACCGAGCTTGTGGTTCAGGGTTTGTCCCTGGCCATATGCTCAGTCATGAGCTCTTTGCCTTCCCTTTCACTGTGTGTCAAGAAAAGGTAAATATCAGCAGAGGTGCAAATGTCCTTGCCCTTTCTAAGGACACAACACATGCAATTTAGTAACAAGCCCTGCAGACCCTTTTCAGGAGGGTCTTTGTCCCTTGGCACTGGTGCCTGTGATATTCTGGGCTAGTCCTTTCCTGGTCAGCAGCAAAATAAAATTGCACATGCTGAGAGAGTGAATAGGAAAGGTGACATGAGGCATTTCCACTTCCTTGGTGAAATATTGAATATCCAGTATTAACCTGTTTTCCGGTTTGGATTGTTTTTAGCATCTCTATATTTCTGAAGGCTACAAGGCTCCAGGTCAGATTGAATCTAGCCAGACTGCAAACTTACCTAAGAGGTGGATTCAGGGGCTGTCCCTGCACCTGGGTCTCCCCAGGAGCATCGAGGGGTTGCGATCCCATCGCGTGTGGGTGCCCTGTCCATGTGCGTACGGGGCTGCTGCTCGACCAAGCTGCTGGTGCAGCTGCACACAGGGTGTGTACAGGAAAGAGCTTGGAGACTATGGATAGGAATGCAAAGATTCAGATGGAACAAAGTGTTTTAGGCCACATTCTCAGCTATATTAAGTCAGCAAAGCCTATAGAAACTGGCGGGTCTAAGGCAGCTTATACTGGCTGGAGAGCCATCCCTTTTTGCTTAAATTTCTTTCAGTTCTAATAGTTTCTAGTATGGCTTGTAAAACTAGTTTAGGCTTCCTGTGTCCTTAATATCAACCTTCTGTTTCAGTAATACTTCTGACCTTTTGGGCTTATGTAGCTCAGAAAGCCAAGGATATTTTTCTTCGGAAATGAAAGCCTTAATATTTAATATATGATTTTGAGGGTATTCTTGCTGGGATAAAAAGATAAAGAGTTAATACTGGGTTTGTAAATCTTAATACTTGCTTAAATCATATCTTAGGATAATAATTGTGAGAAAAATACCAAAATGAAACACTGCTCTCCACAGCTTTTATAATGTGTCCAGTTCCCACACATATGGACTCACAGATTAGAGAAAAATGAGACAGGTTTGATTCTGGGACCTCTGATAACCCTGGCAGGAGGCCAGGAAGACACGTGCATGCATGTGTGTCTTGCCACTGATGCAGTGAGACTGGTGCAGGTTTAAAAGTGAGGTGTATTTTCGGGGGGGCTTGGAGACTTGTCATGAAGCTGCCCTTGCCTCTCTGTGCCAAGTCACTGCTGAAGGGACAATATCAGAAAAGAGTACATGGAAGAAAAGTAAACAGTAAGAGCAAAGAGAGTGGGAAAGTAAGTGAGAAAATTTTATAGAAATTCTATTTTAGTGAAGGTTTAGGGTTTATTAATCTTGTATGATACCAGGTAGCTTGGATGAAATGATGATTAAATCCCCCATGAAGTATATTTCACAATATTGCATATCATCAATGTATTTTCTTTCTGTTTTCAGAAATTCATTGTTCATCCATTGATTTATATTATATTCTTTTTGTTCATTTCTTCTGTAGTAGAAATTTTGGGGGAGGGCATTGCTTATTTTGTTTTATTTGGTTTATTCTTTCTTTTGATCCTCTGTCAACTGTGCATGTTTGTATTTGGTTGTCACTTTTATTTATTTCAGTTAAACATGCTAATGACTCAGGCTCACCTAGTGCTGCGGTTACTAAGGGTGAGTTAAATGCATCTGTTATTTAGCTTTTAAATTGGGAAACTACAAGCAGAGATGAAATATGAGCTGCTGCTCAGGGGAAAAAAAAGAATCACAAAAGCCTTTTTATTATGGTAGGTTGGATTTAAGTGGCCCAGGGAGTACGATTTGCTCATCTTCTACTTTTGACAGAAAACAGCATTTTAACAAGGAGGTAGTTTTCTTACTTATGAAAAGACATTCATATTTCCTAATGTAAAGTAGAGAGGCTGATACCCATGGTTTCTGGGATTGCCAGTGAAGGGAACATTCAGAGCAGGAGCCAAAGCCGGATGCTCTGGATCTTCCCCCGGTGGCTGGGAAGGCCCTGGGTGCCCACAGATGAACGCATGTCTGCGGGGTCACAAAGAGGATACTCTGTATGGCTGCATTACCCCAGGGAGGCTGGAGGTATGGATTTACAGGGCTTAGCTGCTCTGTAGAAGCCATTCATGTGTCTAGCTCTCACTCATTGCAAACGTGGGATAGTTCTTCGTGCTGCAGGCTACACTCTTTGATATTCATGGCAGGTAAGTACCGCAGCAGAGCAGTTCTCATCCTGTAGGGTCACATCCTCCCTTGCTGTGTGCAGCAATACCCTGAAAATTAGCTACTGCCCTTTATGCAGATAACAGCTAGGTCACATTACAGCTATCACCATTCCTGTAATTCTCCACCCAGTTAATTTAATTTTAAATATTTTTAAATGAGGGTCAGGGTTTTCAAATGTAGTTCTTGATTCTGATCCATTTGGCTAAATTGGTTCAGAGAATCTCTGGTTTTGACTCAACAAATTTGAAACACCTGGAAGACCTTGTTGATTAAACACCTGGAGATATTGACCTGATAAAGCTTAGAAGTTTGTGAAAAGTTAGTTCTCCTGGGATGCTTCAGGAGGGAAAACTTAAAGCTCTGGCCAGCCCTCCAAGACTTCGCCTGGGGAGGTGGCCCAGTGGGCCCAGAACAAGCAGAGCTTGGGCAGAGCTACTGACATTTGGTAAACAATTTACCCTTGGAAAATTGTCTGGACTTTGTTGCTGCTTGGGAAGTGGATTGCCTGCATTTGGCAACAGGAGGTGGAGGGCAGATGGAAAATATGCAAGGAGGGGAAGCATGTCCAGGGTTTGGGAGGAGAATTCCTCAGGCATTGCTTGTCCTGCTGTAGCTCTGGATGCTTCTCATGCGTTTGGGGAGAGAAGGCAAGGGGAGGTGGAGGGCAGAAAAATGATTCAGAAAAAGAGTTCAGAAAAAATAGATATAGTCTTTTAACAAATAATCTGTAAATGAGTATTTTTGAAGAACTAGTATCATTTGGGGACTTATTCATTACTGTGCTAATTGTTATTATAGTGATAACTGAATAGCCATTTAACGCTAGGCGTACTTGCTCATGAAAGCCTTGTTTGTCAGGCTAGAATCAATGGTCCGTTGAAACAATGAGCAGGTCGGTCTTGTTTTATTGTTTACACAGTCTTCCATACCAATTGTATATCTATTACTGTGGATTTAATAATTGCAGCAAAGACAATTTGATGGGATATTCCTGACAGGAAAGATGGGCTTTCATCTGAGACTTAAAAGATAATGCAGAAGAAGTGGTATCAAGAAAGATGGTGCAGGTAGGAAAGCAATAATTGCAAAGGCAAGTTGGCCAAAATTCGCTAAGGTGTGTAATAGAAATGAGCTGGTGCTTGGAAAGTAGGACACAAAACCACAGAAAGCCAAGATTCACAAGCACTGCTACCTGTTTGTGTTACTGTAGCCAACGTACCCACTCTAAGTAGGAGAGGTACAGTGTTGAATTAGACTTAAGCAATCTAAGTTTAACAAATATATAAATCAATATCACAAATCTTCTGACAGGAGTAGTGTTTGTGATGTTATTGAAGGGTAGCAAAGGCTCCAAGATTTCATGTGTAAGTTTTTTTTTTTTTTTTTCCTCCTCCTTATGTATGTGCATTTTTTTCTCTCTCCTAAAGCGAATTTTATCAAGGAGAGAAAACCCAAACTGCTGATCCCCCCTGAATCTTCTGGCAGTAGCTCATCAGTCACCGTCATCAAGGGAGGTGTCCTGCTACTTGAATGTATTGCTGAAGGGCTGTGAGTAACGCACACACTTAATCACCTCTTGAAATAGAATTGATTAAAGGAGAAGCGATTTTAAAAGTTATCCAATCCACTATGTATATACCTATGCACATATAGAGTTTTAAACTGAATCTCTGTGCAGTTTTTCTGAAGTATATATTTGTTGTAAAGCAGCACAGAGCTAGCATACAATCATCTCGTGTTTGTTGCTGGTGTCATTTTCAAGTAATTGAAATCCTACCATGGTAAGTATTGATTGCTTTCTCTTACTGTAGAACAACTACTATGGTAACCTCTGTGATATTACTTCCGAGATGTTGAGAAATTGAATAATTTCAAAATATTGCTTCTATTGTTTGTCTCAACTGGTAATGTTTCTTATTTGACCAATTCAGTTTTGTTTGAATGGACAGAAATTATTGCGTATTTTTCCTATGATCTCAGGTTTTCAAAAGGAAAATTCTTGGGTGACCTAATACAAGGAATCCATTAGGAACATCAGAAATGCCCTGCTGAGTGAAACTGCTGGTCTGTCTAGCAAAGTATCACAGTGAGAAGACAGTCACTATAATAATATAGGAAGGGGTTAGGTGAGATGGTAAGTGATAAGAAGTGAGCAGATAGACCAGGACAATTTTGTTCTTTATTATAAATAACACCAGACCGAACAAGTAAAGTAAGGAAAGAGAATGGGTAAATAGATACGGATTTTAAATGCAGTCCTCACAGTGAAGCAGTGAATGCTCCTCATAGACCTGGTTCTTGCTGCAGTGAATATTGCTGCTGCTCAGAAATAAGCTGCACTGTGCCCTCAGTTCAGTTTTCTGTTTGTACTGTGTACTTGTAGATGCAAGTTTGCCCAAAAAGAATTACCTTCAGAATAATAGGTAAAATAAGATCCCTGCAACCACTGAAAGTGCAGTGGAAGTACAGTTCCTCCTGGTTTGTTTGTGATAGAGCTTTTTTTGAAAGGAGACTTAAATCATGTTTTCATCCAGCCTAGTTGGGCTGCAGATCTGTGAATGCAGACCGAGCGTAGCAGATAGATAATTCATACCAAAGGCTGGGTAATTATCCCTCTATGAAATTCTAGATTCAGGATATTTATCTGCCCAAACAAACATGTTTAGGGCATCTTATTTCTCCATGGAGACTTGAAAAGGCATCACTCACTCCTGGAACAGGCAAGATGATGCCTCTGCGGTTGGTTGCCATTTGATGAGAGAAGGCAAATGACTTGTCTGTACTGGCTTCCCTCCAAGCATCTGCAGTGGGTTGTAGTTCCCTTGCCATGTTTGCTTGTGCCACTCGCTGCCATCCCGTGAACCCAACTTCCACCTATCCATGGCCATGAGTATATTATCAAGGTGCTTAATACTTAAATCACCTTGGAAATGAAGAGATACGAATTTGCTTGTGGAACTGATCATGTATTTTAAGAGAAAGGGACCATTTTTTTTTGCCTATTTGGAAAAGAAGAAAAAAGTCAGAAGAAAGGAAACACTCTCATTACATTCAAAAAATTTTTTTTTTGTTTTCTATTTAAAAAAATAAAATGCCACTCTTGAAAGAAAACAAAGTACATACTTCTTATCAGGAAGAGTTTTAGAGGGAGGAGGGATTATGAGATTATAATATTTCTCATATCACAAGTATTTTTCACAGAAACCCATCAGAAGCGCAACATTTAGAAAAGATATTTTTATTATTTAAAATTCTCACTTGCAGAAAAAGTATAATCACTTTCACCTGTATCTGTGCCAGAGCACTCTAATGAAAGTCCACAAAGCACAGAGGAGGCTGAGCCAAATTGTGGGTAATTGAGATTGAGGACAGGCAACAGCAAAACAAAGAAATAAGTACATTTCCAATTTGTCATTTCTGCATAATGACAAATTGGGGAGGACATTTCCTGAACACCAAGGCAACACAGGACCTTCCTTTGGTACAGTATCAAGAAAGATCTCTAGCAGGAAATATGATATTTGTACTATTACGCTTTCTGCTCATGGAAAACTCTTAATTTCTTGGTACCTGCAGCTTTTGAGGAGCTTATGCCCAGGCATTTTGCCACAATAGCAGATGGACACAAGAGTAAGCAGCTACGACACTGTGTATGTGCATGGTGACAGGGTCAGGGAGCCCAGCTGGGAATGCTCAGACAGCAGCCTGTCCCAAATTTCTGTGTCACTGCCATTAGCTTTCTAAAATTGTAGCATTTCCAGCCATCTCCTGGAAACCTTTCCAGGCAGGATTCTGGGTGAAGTCACTCTAATAAAGTCTTCACCTCCTCGTCTGTCCTCATGTGCCCTCTCGTAGTGGGGCAAAGTGAGCTCCACTGTGTCAGATACAGCTTAGGCCAATGTGTTTACAAGAAAAACCTAATGTCATGACCTGTTGGCTGAGAAGTGCTTATTCATAGAGGTCCTTCAAATCAAGGAACAGTATAGCCTATGTAGTGCAGCCACACTATAGTCTGTGTTTTAAAAGAGGAGGTCACAGCATCATGATATTTAACTCAAAAAGCATTGAGTTTTGTTTAATTATTTTTTGGCTTTTTTGCTACTAGCCCAACTCCTCATCTAAACTGGGTCAAGATTACGGGAAGTTTGCCCAAGGACAAACCAGTAACAGAAAATTATGGGAAGATTCTGAAGATAGAGCAAGTGTCTGCAGCTGATGAAGGAACCTACCAGTGCACAGCAAGCAATTCTGTGGGCAGAGTGAAACATGAGTTCCACGTTCATGTTGAAGGTGCTGAGTATGTTTTAATAGGCTTTTGATATTGAGCAAAGAGAGGTACTCAGTGAGTGAAAGTGAAAAAGAACGGTATTATTGGTTAATATAATGCTTAAACCAAACTATATCCGTTTATGTTATCCATAGACCTTCCTACACTTTTGGTAAGTTTGCAGAAAGGCGCATTAGTATTTTTATGAGAAATAATGCATTTTTTTTCCCAAACCGTGGGGATTGAACAAAAGTACAAATATGTGAGTAGACTGTGGATATTGCCATTAAGATGCAAGTTAGTGAAACTAAGATACTGCTGTCTTAATCTGAAAATCAGATTATAATATCTGGTTCTTTTGCTTTCTTTTGAAGAATGTGAAATTGGCTGTTCTGGGTGAGATCAGAGGTGCATTTAGCTCAGTTTTTAATCAGACTTGCCACCAAACATGTCAGTCATTCCTCAACTGTTTATTGGCTTCTCCTTGGCTTTCAGTTCTTGCCTCACTCCATATAGATATTGAGACTTTTTCTCTCCACTGTGATTTTCTAACCCTTATTTTGGATCCTTCTGCATCACATTTGCCCCCGGATTCATCCTTCATGCTACCTGTTCTGCCTATATAGACCCTCACATGTGTGCCTAACCTCAGATCAGCAACAGTCAGAAATGAGCCAGGGTAGCACTGACCATACCACACGTTTGTGCAATATTGTGTGTGTCTGTACGTGCTTGTACTGGTAGTTGTGGTAGGTGAACACTCAATGAAAGGCAGAATCGGTTGGGTTCAGGCATCCATCTGGATGTTGCCTTATTTATGTTGCCTTATTTATGTTGCTATTAGAAGAGAGCCAGCCAAGACAGCAACCAGGCAGGCATCTTCCAGGCAGGAGCAGCTCTTGCCTCTGTTCCCTGTGTGCCCTGAGGACCTGGGCACTTCACGCGAGGCCAGGGCAGCTGCTTCCTCCCTGGTGTTTCCTTTTGCAGAAGCAAAGCAGGGCTCAAATGAGTCTTTACAGAGACAGGTGAACCCTGAGAAAGTGTCACTGCCACTGCAGGTCCCTCAGCAATGTCACCTGTAATAGCTGCAAAATGAGAAGCCCAAAGCAAAGCTGAAAAGCTTGCTGAAAATATTTTCCCTTTACTGATGAAAAATGCCCCAGCCTCTGCTCTGCAGTTAAAAAAAAAAAAAAAAAAAAAAAAAAACCCACACACACAGTATTAAACTGTCAGTGTCTGACAACTGCTTCATTTTAATCTGTGCTTTTCCTTACCCCTTGGTCACAAGAAATCCTGATAGGAAGAAACTCATTTTCAGTTACCTGCTTGAATTTGCTCAGGAACTGGGCGAAAACCTTTCTCCCATTATGTGATGAATCATCCCCTTTCACTTGAAACAAGCCTGTTCCTTATGAAATTCTTTCTTTCCCTTGCTGTCAGTAAAGAAGAGGGGGCCGAGGGATACCAGGGCATGGCAAGGTTTCGGTTGCTGCGGGGGGAAGTGCTGACTCCTTGAAATCACTCCAGATGGTTTGGAACATCTCTGCTGTAGCTGAATATTTTAACAATCTGGCCATGATTTTCTCGGCTGTAAAAACTGAATCCTTCAAAGGAATTGCAGGAACTGCAAAAAGTAAAATAACCAGGGAAATAACATTAATTGTGCGGTTCAGAATAGTGACCCACGCCTCCCTCCCAAGTTCCAGAGGGATGAAAGCTTTCTGGCAAATTGTTATCCTGTTATTCCTGCTCAGTAGCAAACAAGTGGGGGTTTTTGTTTGTTTGTTTTAATGTGTATGTGTGGGGCAGAAACCCACCAACCCACTGTAGCTCTTGCAATGTAAAGAATGCTTTTCCAATAGTTACTAAATCCATTTCCCATGTGTATAACTAATGCTGGCTGCTATCACTAACAGGAGCTCATACTATTAGGAGTCACCTCACACAACGTGCTGAGGTAAAAATGAGCCCAAATGCCATCTTTTTCTAGGATTTTGAACCAGGAAATGTCACTAGCATTAATCAGAGATGGGCATGTTCATCATTCTTACAGTGACTCTGCTGTTGATACTCAAGGGCAGATCTTGGGCTGGTGAAAGCACAAATTAATTTCAGTTGGTTTCAGGGATGTTATGCTGGTGTAGAGCATTCAAGTAGCTAACAGGCTCTCCTCAAAGAATGCATATTGAGATGAGGAAATTAAATGGAAGAAAAATTATCTCTGTTATAAACTGTCAATCGCCCTTGTTCTCATGCTAGTGTGCAAGTCAGAACCTTTCTATCGTTTCTACACTGTGTCACACTTGCTGCTTCTTTTGAGATCTGAGGATCTCAACCCAAAACCCCAGCCGCCTTTGTAGCATTCTTAGCAGATGATATTTGCACGCAGTCCACTTGCTAATCCTGCAGTACTTTGAGGGCAAAGATTCAGGCAATTATTACCAAGCATATGAAAATGTTCAGCCAGCAAATTGCTTGACTGCTTTAACATTTTAATCTCTCCCTGCAAGAAAGGATGTAGCTTCGAACATTGAAATAGGCAGAGAAAAGCTTGTTATTGTTATTAGAGCAGAGAAAAAAAATATACATCATATATTAAAAAATCCCTAAGCCACAAATCCTTGACTTCAAATGTACACAATGCATCTGTAACCCCAAAGTCTTGCCAGTATCACAGTGCCTGATCTAATGGTACCTTGATCTTGACCGAGGCTGCCTAGGTAGTGTTTAATATAAGTAATTATTAAAACATAATGATTAATTATATTATCCCTATAATACCTTAGGGTTTTTGCTGTTCTGTCATGTGATATTTTCATTCATAAGCTAAATAAAAACAAAATAGTTGAAACTAATGTGAGGTAGGTATGTCAGGTTGATTTATCAGGTTAAAGTGGTAGTTCTTTGCATTTCAGTAGTGGTTTGAAGCAGGATGTAGACCCAGAGGTGATAACTGCATCTGAAGCTGCAGCTGATACCTCCAAAGTGGGATGGATTGCCAGCCCTTGGGAAGATGCAAGGGGAATTTGAAATTAGCTTGACTGATTGGGCAAATGGTCTGGATTAAAAAGAATGGCTTTAGTAAGCACAAGTGCAAAGTAATTGTCAACAGGCAGGACTAATTGGCTTCCTAAGTGCAGGGTGGAAAATACCTGGTCAGGCTGATCTGGAGGATATACTGACTGCAAAATAGAGGATGACTCAGAAATGTCACATGTTCTTCCTGGAAAGGATAAAGAAGAGTGAGATACGTGAGAGAGATGCTACAGAGAACTGAATAAAGCCTCTCACTGCATAATGGATCCAATGAAACATACTGTATTTCAGCAAGGTTTGGGTTACCTCAATAAAGTTCAGGAGAAAGTTCCAAGAGCAGTAGCAGATCTCAAAAACGTGTTTAAAAAAAAAAAAATAAAAGTTTGATTTAGGGAAGAAAGAATCTGAGGGATCCATTAACAGCTTTCAAATGCACCGTTTCTTCACAGGAGATAGTAGCACACTTCCTCTTTGTCACTGGAAATAAGACAACAAATACATTCATATACAGCTAGGCATGTGATACATTCAACCTGCAGCAAGGCAGAAGTTGTTAAGATGTAAGAAATCGGTTATAGTTGTGTAGAAAAGTGTAGCACTGCAGTAAAAAGCATGAGAGGCTGGGGAGTCTGCATAGTTGTTTGACACCATCAGAAATACTTGAGACTGGTGGTCCTGTTCCATCGCAGAGGAATAGGCTAGATGACCATTTCAGACCCTTGCTGTTCTTGGTCCTGTCACTTTATTCCCTAAAGCATAAATCTCTGCACTGAATATATTTGCCTTACTGTCTCGCTCGTGCAGGTGAACTGTTTGACAGTCTTATCACTGGTATTTGCAGTTGCGAAAACAAATGTATGTGTTTTGTTATTCTTATACTTGATACACTGTTAGGTAGCACAGTGTAAGTGCTGCACAGAAAAGTGGACTGAAGTACAGCCTTTGTTAGAGATGTAATAGGAAAAAAAACCCTCGGGTTTCCTTACACCTTTTCACTTCCATGCCTTTGTCCTATTGCTGCTGAGGAAAGCCGAACCTATATGAGAAGGGAAAGAAAATATTTACAAAACCAAGACACTGCATTGCATGCACAATTTTTTTTTTTTTTTGTTGCCAAATAGATGGAGGTGAAACATATGATCTCATCATATGTGATACACACACAGCACGCTCCTGGAGAGCAATTTTGCACTGCAGTGAAGAAGGCATTCTAAAAAAATCTATGCAATGTGAATGAAATATGAAGATGTCACAATTTTAGATAAGCTTCAGTGTTACAAATTTTTTTGGTGGTAACTGAATCTTAACTGCTTCAGTCCATGGTTGCTGTGTATGAACCGTGAACGTTGCATAAAAGCTCTTGTATGTCACGTATTCACGTTAGTAGTAGTTTTTTAATATATCTGTGTGAATACAAACCATGATTCTTTGTTTTAGCATATTGCACTGATAACATCTGGAGACTTATTGCTGGGCAACAGCTCTGTTAAGCTTCAAAGCGTTTTATGAGCATTAACTAATGAATCCTCATGTTTCCCATACATTACCTCATCTTTTCAAATAGGGAAAGAGTATTGGAGAGGTCTAGTGACCTGCCCAGGACTGAAAGAAAAGATAGTGTCAGGTCTGGAATTAAAATTTGGAAGTTCTTTGCTTTTCAAGAGAAGGTAGTGACAAATTCAAGGCTGTTTTGGACAGAGGTTGCACACTAGAGCAGCAGCAAAAGGGACCTGTATTCAGTCTGTAGAGACCCGAAGGCAGATTAATGTTTTTCCCTTGGTTCCCTCTTATTTCTTATGGGTATGTTTTTCCAAGGAGGGTTTGGCCCCTAAGGGGTGCCCTTCATGAGGCAGTGTGTCCCCAGAGCAGGGGACAAGGGCAGGAACCCAGCGCTGCACCTCTGCCCGCCCTGTGCACAGGTTTTAGCGACGGCTCCTTGGGATGCTGCTGCTTCTATCCCCAGTGGCCCGACAGTCTCATCACACCTAAACTTGTTCAGACCAGCACATTGGCAGTGGAAAACCGGGAAATTGAAAGGCACCGTACGTTTTCCCAGCACGTATAGATAAGCAAAGAGAGGTGCTGCACCCTGCCCGTGTTGTTGCAGTCAGCCCCAGTGTTTGCAGCTGCTGCTGAAGACGGTGGGAGCCGTTTCCTCATTTCTAGCGAGGAGGAATTGAGCTGAACGAACATTTGCATTTTGCTTGACTTGCTAAAATAGTCACACTTCATTTCAGAGATAACAATGTTATGTTTGAGGGTCTTGGTGAAAATACCAACCTGTTCTGGTTTACCTTCTTCCCCGGCCTCTGATTTCCAATCAGCCAGCTTTGCATTTGTTTTCCACGTGGGTAAACACTATCCATTTGCTACATCCTCTCCCTGACAAATTTCTCAAAGTCTGGAAGATAGAAATTGGTGTGTGCTAATGCTAATTTTACCTTTTGATAGAACTGATTCACAGTAAATGTAATAAAGCCAAATGACAGCCTCACAGAAGAACCAACCGGGCAAATGTTTGCAGGGTTTGCCACCTTCTGGCAGATGTTAGCAATAGCAATGCTAGAGTTGTCCAGTTGTGACATCTGCTGTCTGCAATGTCCCCTCTTTACAGAGCCTCCACAGTGGATAAAGGAGCCAGAAAGTGGTGTTTATAGCGTTGGAACAAATCTTGTGTTGTTGTGTGAAGCTTTTGGCAATCCAGAGCCAACTATCGAGTGGAAACTTAATGGCATGCCGATTGATAGTAAGTACAATGTCTTAAGGCTGGGTGGGAAGCACCTGTTTTGCCCCCAAGTGAAAGGGAACTTTTATCTTTTAAGGATATGGGTCAACCTTGGTGATAACACTCATGTTCCTTGATATCTCTTGGCCATGCTCTGTCATAAGCAGAGATGGCGGTGAGACTGAGGAGCAAAGGCCATGCTCCCTGTACAACCTCACTGCTTTCTTGAAATGTTTGTGCTGCAAAGCACGGGCTTTGGCTGGGTGGTGGCAGTGGAAGGCAGTGCTTTATAGCCATTTTCCAGTCTGGTGCTGAGGATATGCTTTGTTCTTGACATTAACGTAGTGCAGAAAGACTGCAGCCTCCTCGCAACCAGTCTTCGCAATCTCCTGACGTGGTTTGCCTACTTCCAGGTAGGACCTTCCGAGGGAGAATATCTGCCACAGAGATCAGCCTTACCAACCTGCAAATTCAGGACAGTGCTGTGTACCAGTGTGAGGCCAGCAACAAGCACGGCCGCATCCTGGCCAGTGCTAATGTGAATGTTTTAAGTAAGTACCCTCTTGTGTTTCATGACTTGTGAGAAAAGATCTTACTAGTGTCCTTCAGATTAGATTTAGGATCGTAACCATTTCTCTGTTCTGCATTGGCCCTCTATTTTGAGAAATACCTTGTCCTAAAGCACCAGGCTTTATCATGTACACCTTGGGCTCATGAGCTTTAATGCGGTATTTTAACAGTATGGGCTCACAACGTTCTGACTTCAAATAAATTAAAACTACAGGGGGCTGGATTGAGACCACAGCTCTGTTTTTGAGTTATTAAATTCATTATTAATCTTTATTTTAATTATCTTTTCAGTGGTGGCCAGCAATAGGACAAGAGGAAACAGCCACAAACTGAAACATTGAAAGTTCCACAGGAACCTAAGGAGAAATTTCTTAACAGTGAGGGTGACAGAGCACTGGAACAGGTTGCCAAGAGAGGTTGTGGAATCTCCTTTTCTGGAGATCTTCAACACTCACTTGGGCACCATCCTGTGCCACATACTCCAGGTGACCCTGCATGTGCAATGGGGTTGAACTAGATGATCTTAAAAGATCCCTTCCAACCTTAAGGATTCTGTGATTTCCAGTTGTGATGCTCACCTGTCCTTTGAAGAAAGAGAGCAAGAGGATAAGAGAGAAAGAGCTTCATAGGAGAGGTCTCAAGAGGTAGCAGACAGAATCTGTTTTCTCTTCTAGAGTGTGTTATGGTTTCATAGTCTGATATGTCGAGCCACCAACCACTTACCTTTGTCTGCAAGACTTAGGAAAGCTCAGATTCTTAGACCAAGACCACTTTCTAATGCCATTAGGTAGTTAGACCTCTCTATGCTGGCAAAAGGGGATGATGCAGCGTGAAACACGGAGCTACACAACTATATAACCTGTTCTTGGGTCTATAGAGGGCAGCCAACTACTGTGACGTTCGTCTTCGTATCAATATGAATGCAAATGGAAGCAGTTTCTGACAGTTTTTCTCTTTCCAGTTCTGAACTGTAGTACAGCTCATTTTATATTCCTTTTTTTTTTTCTTTTTTTTTTTTTTTCCCTGCAGATATTGCTCCCTTAATACTAACCTCAGATGGTGAAAACTATGCCACGGTTGTTGGTTACAGTGCCTTCCTGCACTGTGAAATCTTTGCTTCACCTGCAGCAGATATTAGATGGTGAGCTACAGAGACCCTTTTTTATGTGAAACCAGTTCACCTGGCCTTCCCTAACACTGTAATATATGCTAGTTACTATGTCCATGTGGTTAAATTCACCATGTGGTTAAATCATATACCATATAAGCGTCTTGTGTTTCAATGCATCATCATTCAAGGACCCTGAAGTATTTATTTATAAAAAAAGATCAATCGAAGTATTCAGAATCTGCTTGAAATGAGTGCTGGGGTATTCATTAAACCAAGACATACTGTACCAAGACATACCAGCAACTTCATCAGGCTTAAAGTTAGCAACTTTTTAAGTCTGGACATTTTACTGCGATGGAAACCCAGTGACTTACAGAATGCATGATTCCATGCAGTTAGAAATCATAGAGTTGCCAGTTCACTTGACAGATACAATAAAATTGCCAATGACAGCTATAGATTAGAGACTCAGCCGAACTGATTTAAAGACCTTGCTAGAGACTGTCAGCATGTTTTCAGTTTCCTGGGAGTTTATGTCCCTTGATAGTTTGCTTGTGTGTGCACTTAGTGACTTGCTAATATTGACTCATTTGTTCAATGGCAAAGCTAAGATCAGATCCCCGAATTCAGTGTCCTGTGCAGTAACTGCTAACCATGAGATAACAGTTCTTGAACCCTAAAAATAATCCATAACTATTATCTTCCTTTTAGGACTAAGGATGATAGTGTAGAGCCTCTCACAGCATTACGCTATGAATTGAACAAAAATGGAACCCTGGAGATCAAAGACACAAGGAAGGAAGACTCAGGATCATATGCTTGCTGGGCTGCAAACTCGGTTGGAAAACGAGCAATTACTGCTAATCTGGATATAAGAGGTAATGTCTCATTTAAGAATGGAAAGACCTTTGATGTATTTTAAAGTTTATAGTTACACATTTTTAATAAATAAATAGGAAAGAGTACAAGATTCTAAAGCATTTTGTGAAGCTCTGAACAACCTGGAGGCTGAAACTGCTCATTGCCCTAGGCCTTGTGTATATGCAGCAGTTACTGTTGTCAAGGGTTTTTTTTGTTCATATGTGACATTTACAGTGTTCTTGATACTTCTGAAGCTGCATAATCTCCCAAAGTCTTTCAGGTTACTTCCCAGATCTGTTCCCTTTATCTTGAAAGATTTTTCTTTCCTTCTTGTTGTGAGCCTTGCTACTGGCAAAAGCAGGCTCATGGGTGGATTTTTGGAGACCTCCTGCCCTCCCCTTGTTTGTGGGTGTTTGGGATTCATTCCTCACTGAACCACACAGGATCCCCAGTTCCATTTCCCAGTGCTGTGGACTTCCTCATTCCTGAACTCTTAATTCCACTTTATTGTCCAGAAAATATACAATAAATAATAATAAATGTGTGCAGTGAACAAGCAAATTGCAGCAATATGAGTTGAGGGGCACTGCTTATTTGAGGACCTTGCTGTAGGTCCCTGACTGACTGTCAGCTTGACAGCAGGAAGGAATTAATCTCACCTTGCACAAAAGTCTGGGCAGCCTAGCTTGTTGTCTGTCATTTTGAGGTGTTGCAGGACTCGGTTGGCATCCTCTTATAGCAGCCTAACGTATGTTAGAACTCTAGTACTTTGGACAGGGATAGCAAAAATATTGAAAGCATTTTATTTCCAAATTCCAAATACATACCTTGTGCTCTAATTCCAGGTGATTTATTTGATTGGTTGGCCAGGCAGGTTTTTCCTGGAGGGATGATGGCCGTGGACCATTTCTATAGAGAACATAGGTTTAAGATAGTGAGTAGTACACAAAGTTGTTTACTATGGCTGACCAACAGAAAAAACTTTATTACTCAGTTGGGATAGACCTCAAAAAGATTCTCAGATGCAGGTTTGCCATGACATGCTCAAGAAAAATATTTTGTGTGTGTGTATTCTTTTTCCATTTGATCCCTTTGCTTTGGAAATTATACCATGATGATAAACATGAAAATACACAATGAAACTTTCACTGAGAAACATTTCAGTGCAAGAATAAATGTAGCCAAGTGCTTTCTTCTTACTTCACCAGTTTTTACATTCAGATTGAATCAATTAAAAGAATAAACTTGATTGCAATAATTTTTTCTCACTTGACTTTAATAAGCTTGTAATTTTTCTTGGAGCACTGCCAAAGTGATTCAAATGGTATTTGAGTATAAAGCTCATATTTGAGCTCTTCTGTTATCCATTTAATATCAGTCATCTGACTTGGATATTTTTTTCTTAAAGTCCTTATGTATTGTTCTGGAGCTCCTTGGTTTGTTTTTTGAGATAGAAAGTTAAATCTTGGCAAATTACCTTTTCTAAAATATCTCTCCTTCACTTGAAATATTTGGGGGTGGGGAGGAGGATAGATATCATCCTTGCTCCTAAAACTGATCTTCATGTACAGAGTGCTTGGTGAAGATTTGATGTGATAGTGTCTCTTAATAATCAAAGTGTTTTTATTTGATCAACCAGATGCTACAAAAGTTGTTGTTTCTCCGAAGAACCCTCAAGTGTTAAAATCACATTCCATTTTATTGAAATGTCAATCTGAATATGATTCACATTTGAAACACAGTTTTAAATTATCTTGGAGAAAAGATGGAGATGAGCTGCCAGTCAGCAGCACAGACAATAGCAGGTGAGCAGGAAAGAAATAAGAATTTTCTTGATCTCAACTGAAAAAATGTATAGTACTAGAACAGGAGTTTCATTAAACATGAAGCTTAATAGCTGGAAATGCAAATTTATACCTGCAAAAATTCTTTTTTTTTGCAATATGTGAATAGATCTGCATTTTATATACATATATATGCATCTGTATGACTTTTGATCTATAACGGTCAAGAAGGTTTACTCTTATTTACTCACTCACTCTACCCTACCAGTCTAGTCTGATGACGTTTTGTTTCCTACTTTTAATGGAACCGGAACTTTCCTGTGATTTATGCCTGTTTGGCCAAAGCCTGTGCTGATAATGTTAAAGTAAATGGTATTCATTTGTCTGAGATTTTTTTAACTAAAATAATGTAAAGGCAATGATTTTTTCCTGTATATGAACTTGGGAACATGCAAACTCAGGCTGAATTTTATTCTGCTCTTGTTTTCCTGCTGACTCTAGCAGGACTGAGCTGAGCCTTTATTCCATACCAAGGGCCCTGGAGGGACAGTATGGGACATCCGGGTGTGTTTATTAGGTAGTCACAGTAGCAGTCCATTTCCTAGTATTGCAGGGCTGAGGAGATGGGCCCATCCCAGACCCTGCGGCAGGGAGCTGGCTCAGGGAAATGCCTCCCCAATGTTCACCACAGCAGATCCATTGGGACTGCCATGTGAGGATCAATGAATGCTGGCTGCCCCAGAGCACTGGTTATGACACAAGTGTATTGGGAATGCTCAGTCTTACTCCAAAATTTGGACATAAAGCCTATTATTTGCCTCATTAACAATGTGCCAAAATGCTGTGTTCCAGACACTCAGCTGATGCATATCCATGTAGTTCCCTTAAAATGTGATCTTCTAGGCACAGTCTCTAAATTGCTATGAAATACAAATAATAGCCTACAACATAATGTATAGTATAACTGCAATTACATTTTAAAATAACAGGCCTAACATGCAATTATGTCATTCGAAGTTTTATTATCAAGGATTTTTTATGAACAGAATTTCAGAGAAAAACAGTGTCTATTTGTCATTTGCTTATCTTCCTCTTTTTTCTCATCCTTATCTGTATATAATGTTTCTTTCTTTTCCTGTAGGATAATTATGGACATGGATACGTTGTTCATATCAAGTGTGACACTGGAAGATCAAGGTGTTTACACGTGTGTGGCAAGAACTTCTCTAGACAGTGTCACAGCTGAATCACAATTAATTGTTCTTGGTAAGAGGTTTTTTTTCCAGGGTTGCAAAGGGCTCTGTGCTATCCTGAATGTAACTGCAGCACCTTTGCAGTTACCTTGCACATGCAAGGTTCGTAGGAGCCTTCTTAGGAGCAAGGTTCAACAGGAGCCTGGCCATGGCAGGGAAGCCTGACCCTGCGTGAGCATCACTGTGACCGCCCTTCTCTCTGCCTGAAAGTAAGGGGAACAACCTGAATAGTGAGGTGCTGGCCTTTGCAAAGTCAGCCTCTAACACTTCCCAAAAGCATCAACCAAGAGCTCAAATGCTTTTTTGCACACAGTTTAATTTCATTTGATTTTACACTCTTAGTCCTGGCAGTGATTGCAATTGGAGCTAAGACAACCTGACCTTCAAGATAGTTTCACACTTGGAATAAATGCTGTTTTTCAGTAAACAGTAAATTAAGAAGATGCTATGCACATTATTTACGGTGATGTATTCTTTAGTGCTGTATAATTCAAAATGTTTGTAGACTTTTTGTTACATTACTTATGAAAATTTCATGAAGCCCTTTATTACCATTTAAACTGTGATTTACAAGAAGGAAAAAAATAGTCCTGTGCTCCCTTTTCCATGTTTATAGTTAAATAAGAAAGGTCTTGGTGGATTGACAATATCTACTATTTTCCAAATGAAAAATTCAGGCTTCATTTGCAATGAAATGCAAGACTTGAATGCAAAGAAGACTTGATAGATTGACTAAAGAGACAAATGTCATACAGATGGAGACAACAAAATATGAGCAATTGAGGGCAAAGAGATAATAGAATAATTCTAAGATTTTTTTTTCCGTTTATGATTAATAAACAGTCTGAAGATGGACATCTTTAAGATACACAGCTACTGTCTTTAAATATAGTAACAGCACATGTGCTTCAAGAATGGAACAGCAAAATACTTGGAAGTTGAATTGTATTTTCCTGATTTTTTTTCCAAATATAATAGAAGCAGGGGGAATAAATGCAAAGAAAAACTCTTTGAACGTTTTCATTTGCTTTGTAAAAAATCCTGTGCAATCCCTACTGATTTCTTCCACAATGACGGACAGAGTCTTGTGGATTGAGAGAGCCAGTTTTCCTGTAGGAAATGACACCGTCAGTCAAGAATGAAGCTGGAACATTGGGGCAGGAAGAGGTCAAAGAACTACCAAATGTTGTGCAGCCTCATTCCTTGTTCTGGACATTATTCAGTCTTTGAAAAACGTACCCGATGTCCAAGAAGCATTTCCTGCACAAGTTAGAACATTTTCCTGGTGTATGCAGGCTTCTTTTCAGTGCTGTATGTAAGGAAGAGAATGTGTGTGTGACTTTTAAATGATGGGGGCTTCCTACCAACTCTCTGTGCTGAGATTTTATTCTTTTACAGCAGCCCTATGCATTTCAGTTACCAACCAAATCCACTATAATCAGATTGCAACTTGCCAAAGCAAGCCATGAGGAGAATAAACATCTGTCACTCTGAATCCACTGAAATCAAAAGCATTCATTCAAGTACAGGCATTCAAGTACGGCTGGCCCCGTGATGGATTGTCCCTCTGCCTCCTCCTCCAGGAGAAATGAGGTCACTTGGCAGCAACGTGCGCCCGGCACCGTGTGGGGACACTGTGGGGACACTGTGGGGACATAGCCATTCCTGGCTGTACGCTGACTTTGATGCAGGCTCTGGGCAGCCTTAGTTGAGCTGACAGGGAATGAATTTTCTCTTTCATCCTCTTTTCTGGATGGCTGGGATTGGGGTAATGGGTGTCACCCTTGCACTCCCACACCTGCTTGGCGCAGGAACCGCAGAGGTGGTGTCACTTTCTGCCACTACGGTTAACACGGGAGTAAATACAAGCAATGCCAGTACAGACTTAAAATCCAGTAAAGTCAATATTTACTAATGATTTAACAGAGCTTAGTGTTGATCTGAAAAGAGAAATGGTTTGTTCCAAGCATTATAATAAGAGTATAGGGAAATGTACTCAAGGAAGAATATTGTATTTATTAAGGGAGAAAGCAGGACTAGAAAATACATTGTATTTCTATATTAAAGTAGGATTTTATAAAGCAATTCTTGTTTTCTTAATTTTTTCCACTTTGAAATCAAAAGATGTTTTACCACCGTCTTCAGTGGAGCTTGCTGTTCCATTGTCTGTCCTTTTGAAAATACCAAGTAAATAGCAATAGCTTGCCATCTTCCTGATGGTTCTTCCTTCTGTCCCAGATGTCCCTGATCCACCAGAAGATCTTCAACTTTCTGAACATCAAAACCGAAGTGTTCGACTCTCCTGGAAAGCTGGGGCCAATCATAACAGTCCTGTTAATGGTATGAAGGGTTTTGGTGGCATCAGTTTGTGTTGTTTAGCATTAATTTATGTCATGGCTGTTAGAATAAGCACACAGTTCTCCTAGCCATACTTAATTGGTTTTACTGTGTCAGTTAATTTTTTTGTAAGCTCAGCTCTGCTTTTTTCTTCCTGTTTTTTTTTCCCCTCCTTTTTCTGTCTATACCAGAATCTATTATAGAGTTTGAAGAGAACCGATGGGAACCAGGGAAGTGGCAGGAGCTAAGCAGAACCACAGGGAATGAAACCACAACCGTTTTGTCCCTCGCCCCATATATGAATTACCAGTTTCGTGTCATGTCTGTGAATGCTGTTGGAAGAAGCCAGGCTAGTAAACCATCACTGCGCTATGCAACACCTCCAGCTGGTAAACACTGCCATCTAGTTTTCTGAATATTATTTTTTTTGTGTGTTTGCATCAAATAACATTGTCTTACTCTGCTGCTGAGGAGTTTGAATAAGATTGGGTTGCTTGTACTGTTTTTTCTGTTCAGGTTATGTGGTGAGAGACTAAATTCTTAGTGCATTAAACCATACTGGTCTCCATAATTTTTTTCCAGCAAAGTGTAAGCATTCTGCACGTAGAAGTAGCTTCAGGGAGTTATTTCTGCAAGGAGCAGATTCACTTCTGCAGCCTTCTCCATCCTCCTTCCTCCACTGCCAAGAAAGCAGTGGATGTCACCATGGTCAGCAGTGTGCTTCTCAGAAGGGTCCCTGTAGCGTGACACCGTCCAGATCTCTGCTCATCTTGAGGCTTAGGGGCCCATTGTCAGTGCGTGTGGACACGCAGTTGCTGGGAAGGATCTGCAGGATTTACAGAGAGCCTTTCAGCAGCACTGAGCTTGTCAAAAATTTCCATTCACAATGCATTTCTCATTGTAACTGAAAATGTTTTGTCCCTGAAAGTCATAGAAGTCTGTCATTTTAGAGGCCAGCTGCTTGTTTCTTTGTTTCTATTTTTTTTTTTCTCCTCTTCAAAAATTTCAGGTCCTTTTTTCAGCTGTATGCATCCCACTAATGATACACCTTCTGTTTACTGTCCCCAAAGGGAGAAATAATAATAATCTTCATAATAATCCCCCTACATCTGGTCCTTTGAAATCCAAAAGTCACGGTGTCATGTTAGCTAGTGACTGCAGCCATTAAGGGCACTTAGGAATCTAAACAGCATAAATGATGTGTTTTGTTACAGTTTTGTTGATCCAAGTAATTAATTTCCCGAATACCTCTTATTTAGGTGTATTTCAGTAATGACAGAGTAAGAAAAGCTTCTACACTTAAATAATACATGCAATTAAAAGCAAGGTACCTAAACTAACTTTGTTACCTCTGTGTTTATAGCTCCTGACAAGAACCCAGAAAACATCCGTGTTGAAGCATCTGAACCAAATGAAATGGTGATGAAATGGGAGGTAATTCAAAAGTTTCTGTCAATGATACGATATGGAAAACAGGTTGTGTCTTCAAAGAGCAGTTTCTAAAGCATCATGGAATTTATCAAGATGTTGTTTTCATATAGTTAATTATTAAAGAAATGATGGATACCTTGTCTTTAACTCTCCCCCACCCTCGTTTTACGGAAACATTAGCAAAATCTATAATATAGTCCTTGATTCCACTGAAGTCATAGGTAAAGTTGTTACCGACTTCTGGATATCTTCCCCTAGTTTCATTTTTATTTCTAAAATCAATTCTTTTATACTTAATTTTTGTAGATTACAAAGAAAAACAGAAGACTCATAAAGCACCATGAAAATTCTCTTTTGCTCTGCAACTTGTATGTAAGAAAGGGCTTTAAATAGTTTTGGTCTCACTTTGCCGTGCAGGAAGAGAGGTTCTCTCACATGGAGAGACTACTTTTTATGTAGATTTTGCCCTTCAAGGTTGTACATTTAAAAATGACTCAGATCATTTGGCCAAGTGAACTTGAGCTTGAATTTTATCACCATTAACTAAAGGAATTTAGATGTAGCGCCTAAGCATGAGTGTCAAAGGAACTGTGTAAAAGTGTTGAGGATGGTTTCCAGCCTTCATTATCCTGGCTTTTAAATTTACAGCTTATGTGCCAACATTTTACGGAGATGCATATTCCTTCTTTCAACACAAGTTGCAGCAACTGTGGAAGGAAACATATTTTTTGTGTCTGGAATTAAACAAAATTTACTTCAGATTCACTTCTCAATCTGGTGCTACCAGGAAAGGACCCATAAACATTTCCACAATATGAATTCATATTTAGATTAGAATTGCCTCAGAAGGAGATAGACCTCTGGATCTGTTGACTTGGAGTTTAAAGTGAAATTTTGTTATACACCGTAGTTCAGGGTCAGGGAAAACTATCCTGCATCTACAAGGAAATGCAGAGTAGGTGGGAGAAGTTGCTACAGGCAGCAGTGGGCTGAATGCTGCTTTGAACGGAGAACGCGCAGTCATCACAGCTGCGATGTTCCAGTGTGGACACAGAAGTAGTAAAAGTAAAGAGAGAGAGTGGACAAGCTTGTTATTATGTGCAGATGAAACATTTAAGTGTTGTGTTGTCATAAACAGGATATTCATTTATTTATGTTGTTCCCTGTAAGCTTTTCAGAAGAAATGCTAGGTCCTGAACATACTAAAAATTCCATTTCTGGCAGACAAAGGCTGCACAATGATGTTAATCTGCCTACTTTGGATTAGGAGACCAGATGAACATTAGTGACTAGCTTTCCAGCCAAGGATTTGCAGCATTAAAGGAGATCAAAATAAGAGTCAAGCAATGCTGAAATGTAACTCTAAACAGGAAGTTATTTTCCAATCAGAGATTTAATTTTCCTCTTTGATTTCTCTTGCGAATCCTATTTACTGGGATCTTTGCTGTGCAGGTGGTTTTCCTAGCTGTGCCCATCAGAAAGCAGTGAGGGCTCCCAGCTCCTGCTTGCAGTCTTTGCCAAGGTCTTGAGCAGGAGGGTAGGGAAGAGGCCACAAACACCATGTGTTGCTATATTAATCATTTAAATGTTATTGAAAGCAGAATGTAGGGCTTGAAAATCCACAGCTGTTTCAGGAGACTGGAAAAATCCATCATTTTTGGCAGCACAGGTGACCAATTAACTATTTTAAAAAGAAGTAAATTTTCAGAGAGAGAGGGAGAGAGAGAGACTCAACTGGAGCATGTCTCATGACAAACCATTACTATATGGCTTCTAATATTTTATAAATTAATGTTAATTAGACAGCAACCATAGTGTGATGAATTTTTCAGCTGATCAGTAAAACACAGCACAGCAGTTGCACATTAAATGTCCAGGCCTAGTTTCGAGCATTCAGTGCATATTTAGGGCACAACAGGGAAATGTAAATTTTAATGACCTAACTTTCTGTGCTACATAAAATTCTAAGATAATATGCATTTTAATTGTACTAAAAAGCATGCAGCCTTATGTTGCAATAAAAGAAAGGCAACTTGCGGCAAAACAGGCCTTTGTTTCTAATATGTAGAAACTGGTATGCAAATAGTTAACATGGTTTTAGTCCAACTGTTGCGCTTTCACCTACTGTTTCTTTTAAGCGATGACATATTTCTTCCAACAGTCTTAAAGTTAATATGGCCTTGAAAAGTTAAAGCTTTTCTTCCCATTTCTCTCTGAATATTATAACACAGTCTCCAAAATTATTCACCCCCTAAGCAGCTGTTTCATGATTACTGCAACAAAGGCAGCTCAGAGTCTCTTTTAACTTCTCCCGCAGCCGTTGAAACCTGCGGAGCGGAACGGGCCAGGGCTGGAGTACAAAGTCAGCTGGCGGCAGCAGGGGGTCGAGGCTGATTGGAATGAGGAGATGGTGAAAAAGCATTCGCTGACCCTGCGAAACACTCCCACCTTCGTGCCTTACGAGATCAAAGTCCAAGCGGTGAATAATTTAGGATCTGGTCCTGAACCAAATGTTACCACTGGTTATTCAGGAGAGGACAGTAAGTAATGGAAACCTTCATGTAAAAATACACCGTGTAAGTGATTCCTGCAAGGCAAAATAATCAGGTATCAAGTGATTGATTAGACAACCTGCGGCTAAAAACGCTGAAATGTCACTGTTCAGCATGTCAGCATCTGAAGAGAAGCAGAAGCTTCTGATAGAGGATGCTATAAATTTCACATCACTGAAGTTTGATTTTTGGAAAGGCCACATGTGCTACTATTCATCTTGGTTCCTGGCTTAGTCTGGATATTCATTTGAAGGACACATTCCGTAAAAAGGCTGTATATCAACAAAAAATAATTTTTGGAGTCTTGATTCTGGTTTTGTGAGTATAACTTTGAACTTGCAATTACCTGAAGATGCAGTTTTGCTCCCACCTTAGTAGGAGGCCACTTCTGAAAAATGAGGCTGTCCACTGGTTCTTCCTAAATGAATGTCTTGGTTCCTGCCCCAAGCACGAGTCCCACAGTGTGCCCTCATCAGGGATCAGTGGAGTCGATGGCCAGAGCAGAGCAACCTGCTTTTATTTGTTTGCCCAAGGCTGCTCTGAAATCACCACAGCTGCTTGTGATACCTACCCTGTGAACGGGCTTGAATAATTATGGCCTTTTAACTTGCTAATGGTGTTAATGCTGGCATCAGGGGGCTGTGCAGCCCTGATATGCTCCGTGGGGCAGCAGACAGCAGCACTGCTGAGCCAATGCCAACATATCCAAATTCCTTCCCGTCCGTGTTGGTGCTTACTGCAGGAGTATAGAGGGTGTTTTGGAGGCCTACATATGTATCCAGCTGCAGTAATGACTGTAGCAAGCAACTCGGGCAATAATAGCAACCAAAAGAATTTTTAATGATCTGAAATGTAAGTGCTTGTTGCATTCAGAAATGCTTAGCAGCAGGGATGGGGGCAGCCAGCTAGGAAGGTCAGAAGTGTCAGCAAATGGCCTATGCTTCAAATCCGCAGTTTAATCTTATTATTTAAAGTCAGAAGGTTTTCATCCCTTGCAGAAGCTGAAATCTTCACGTTATTTTCCTAAGAACAAAATGAAATGACAGCTTGAATGGCCTTTGAAAAGCCTCCAGTACATTAGCCAGCTAAGGCGAGGATGCCTTTTGCTGCTTATTAAAATGAGCCGAGAGCCGTGACCTTTGCTGAGCCGCCGGCTGCGGGCGGCACCCGCGGACGGCCCAGGGAGGGCTCGCAGGTGACACCAAACAGTCATTAGGGTTACTGTGATAACTGCAGATGTCAAAGTTTTTACTGCCTTTGCCTAAGCTGCCTCCATCCCAGGGAGTTCCCCTTAGAGTTCTCTTCTCTTTGGATCCAGACCTCTCTCTTTCAGGCACAGTAATAGCTCTCTGGGTTGTATAGTGATTAAAATCCCACTGTTAAATGAGTTCAGTTGTAAAAGGAAATTGATTATAAAAAAAAACCTTTATTGCCTTCTTAAATGGCGTGTTAATCTTTTTTTTTTTTTTTTTTTTTTTTTAAGTATTCCTCTTGCTGCTGTAAGCACTGCTTGGAACAGGAAATCATGAGTAGTGGTGTTGAAACCCAAATGTCCCGGTGCACCCGCGTGCCAGCCCTCTGCAGCAGGCACTGGTGTGGCAGGCATGTTTAGTGGCCCATTTCAGGCTTGTGGAACAGCTTTCAGCTTGGCTGCCACAAGCCTGCCTGAATTGCCACAGCTTGAGCTGGGAAGCCTTGAAGCGTGTTAGAAGATACTGAGCTTTTTTAGCATATCTTTAATATGCAGCACTTATATTTTTACAGTTCCAGATGCTGCTCCTTCCAGTGTGTCGGTGGATACTCTGAACAGCACATTGGTTAAGGTGTTCTGGTTTGGAATTCCGAGGGACAGAGTTCGTGGACATTTGAGAGGCTATAAGGTTATGAATTTCTCTTTAAATAATTGTATACCCTTTGATAAAGTATTAAGTGAGCACTCTCTGTATAATAGATTGCAGTCTCTCATTTCCAGGAAGATGAGACAAATCAAATATTGTGTCCATCCATACAAAACATAACTTGTTATAGAAATTCTCATCTCAATACAGGTCAGTTGGTGGAAAACAAGAAATATGCTGGATGGAAAAAGACATCACCCAGAGAAACACTTCCTGACCTTTGTAGGAGACAGAAACTATGGAATGATTCCTGGTCTGGAGCCCTTTAGCGAATTCCACTTAACTGTTTTGGCTTACAATGCAAAAGGAGATGGACCAGAGAGCTCTCCAGTTGTGTTTGAAACTCCAGAAGGAGGTAAGAAAAAATGGAAATTGGAAGGCATTGGATGGAAGGAACTAAATCAAAATCTTCCATGTAGCTAGGCAAGTTAATTTTGTAAAGTTAAAGTGTCATTGTAAAATCTCCTGTATTCATAAAACCATTCACTGGAAGGGACCCCTAATCCATGATGTGCTGAAGAACTGTCTTGCTTACAGAAGGCATTCGGTTGTGTATTTTTGGGAAGTGATCGGCATCTTGCTGAACACAAATGGCTAGCTGCATGGTAAACAAAATTGGAGAACACTAGGTACTGAGCTGACCTATATCTTAGCTTAACAATTATGTGTAGAGCTAGACCTCTACAGTATTCTTTTCTGTAAGTTACTGCTGGTGTTTTCCAGTCCCTGAGCAACCACGTTCTCTAAGGATATTAAACTTTGATAAGGACTCCATCACTCTCTCGTGGGGACTTCCCAGGAAGGCAAATGGTCACCTTACTGGCTACATCTTGCAATACCAGATAAGTATGTTCTTGTTTTACTTTGATTTTAGAATTCAAACAATTAGATCTTTTTTAGTTAAAGCTTACTTTAGTTTATATAAGAACAGTTATTTATATTAGATGCTAAGGAGAAAGGCTGTGTTTCAGAAATTCCTGCCATACCTGGGGCATGAGAACATGTTTCAGGAGTGTTATGTTAGCTTAGCCTGCTAGAGGGCAGGCCAAGTCCATTTTTTAAGTGCAAAGAGGTTTTTGGTGTCCTTTTACAGTCTCACACTGTTGCCATGCTCTATTCCACACTTTATACACTAATTAAATTATTTCAAATTTGCAAATGCTATTTAGTAGTGAAGGCACAAGCTGTAGGAGATTTTTAATGAAGTGAAACTCATTCAGCACAGAATGGTTTGCAGTGAGAATACTTTTGCCACATTTATTCAGATTTTCACATTATTTCAAGACAGCAAGCACCTCCTTTCTGTAAAATTCTTCAACAGAAATAAAGAGGACTGTCATGGAGTCATGGTATGCAGTAATCACATCGAGAAACAGCAAAGCTGTAGGTCCAGAGGTGTTTCTGTCATGTGTGTGGAGAGTTGAGGAGCTAGAATAAAGATTTTGAGCAGGTAAACTGAGGTAGAATGTAGTATTAATCCTAGGTTATCACAACAGCAAATGTGAAGTTTGATGACAGTTTGGGGTGTTTTGTGTGTTCTTGGAGGATGGAAGGGGCACACTGCGTGCACAATTCTGTACACTTTTATGGCCTGGTAGCAGAAGAGCCTCATACCTTTGCAGACACGGACTAGAGGCTGGACTAGATCCCTTTGGTCTCTTTTAGATGGTTATGTGCAGAGAGTGGATCCATCTCTTGGGCAGTTTGGTAGTGGCAACACCACCTTTGGCATCCAGCCATGTCAGAGCAGAGCAGAATGGCCCACCCTTGACTTGCTTGTGAAAGTTTGCAGATGTATGGAGGCAAAGTAAAAATCAATTCATATATATTTAATATTCTAAGAGGCCGTAATTTTTCACTCCCATTCAATGTATACATATCTGGAATTGAAGAGCTCTTTAAGTGCAATAATAGCTCAGCAAGTAGTTGGCTGATTGATGGAGATGAGACAAATCCCATTTAAGTGCTCCGCAAAGCAACAAGATACGCTTATTCAGACTTCCATCCTTCCTGCTGCCTGCAGAATGCCTCCCTTGAAGGAACACTCCGGACGCTTTCTCTGCCAGTAGCATTCAGCCACTGGATGTGCCTCTACTCTCTTTTATCTTGCAGTAAATGAGACGCACGAGATTGGCCCTCTGAACAACGTCACCATCAGCAACCACTCCATGCTCAGCTGGCGGCTCTCCAACCTCAGCTCCAGCACCAAGTACAAGTTCTATGTCAGGGCTTGTACAGCGAAAGGCTGCGGGAAGCCAGTCACAGAAGAAGGCCTAACGATGGCTCAAGGGAGTAAGTTAATAGGCAATATGTTTTTATGTGGAGAAGCTTTAACAATAATGGAAAAATCTATAGAGAATATTCCAGGCTTGACATTTCCTCTGTAATTAGAGGAAATAAATTTGTTTTTCTTTGCATGAGAACAATCAATGAACTTTTAATGTAGCCATGCAGCACTTCAGAGAAGAGCAGCTTATCTGACTGTTCCGTTTTGCTGTATATTGCTATGTTTCTATTCCCACCGATCAACTCTTCAAGGTCTACAAGAATCAGCAATTTGTATTTAGTTGTGAGCAGAAAATTGAAGATCTAAATAATCAGTTTGCAGTGAATTGTAAAAGTAAATTCTGCCCTTGCATATGAACATGGGAAACTCACAGCAGCATTAGTGGCAGTTAATTGGCATGGAAAATCTATATTAACATAAAGGTGACTGTAATGCATTTGATCCATTATTTTATCAAAGACTGGAAGAGATCGTTTGCAGACCGCTTATACCTCCCGCTAAAACACTGATTTGCGGTGATTTAAAGGAAAAATACAGGCAAAATACTATGACTCTTCTTTCTAATTCAGCTGAAATGACACAAACTGTACTGAGCTCAGCAAGGCTGGAAACTTGCCAGCACTGAAGAACAAGCCCTTAGCTATTAATCAGAAACCATGGCTGTAGACTTACCACAGGGAGGGAGAAAAGAATGTGATAAGCAAGAGAGTCCTGGCTTAATCATTTTTAGTGATGATAATGGTCTGTAAGAGTGTTGATACGAAATAGAAGGATTGTCTTTATTGCATAGTATCCTGTCAGGCTTTCAAACTGCAGAAGGTCTTCAGTTATTGGACTGAAGGAAAGAAGCAAGTAAAGAAAACAAGATTTAATTCATTATATCCCACCCTTGGCCAAGTTAGGACCCTGCATCTGCCACTGAGATGCCTTTAGAGTTTTCACTCTAAATTAAAACATTTTCTTTCCTTTAAAAAAAAAATGGAGTGATATGAAAAGTCCAGGTTTGTCATTTAAAATGACCCCCATAAATGACAGATTTAAAATGTGGTGCCTCTTTAAATGAAACACTGTAGTACACTGTAGTAGAGCACTCCAAGTTTCTTTGGGTTTTGATTCAGTGATTTTTATATCCAGTATATTCCATTTTAGTAGTAAAAAAATTAAAACTTTCTTTGTTCTGTTCAGGACTTTGAATAGCTTCCTTTGCAGCAATGTGGCTTTTGCAGGCTGTGCCATGGGTGCCTCAAAATTTCAAAGTACATTCTCGGGAAATCGGGGACATTTAGGCAGAAGCTATAGATTCATTCACATTTCATCACTGATATGTTTAAACTGAATTACTTTCATTTATTTGCAATTATCCCTGTTGGCATAATCTGGAATTGAAGAGTAAAGTGAAATCTTCCCTTTAGATTTATCTTTTATATTTATGTATCAGCACTAAAAAAAAGTCTGAGTGGGAAAACTTATTGTGATAATTTTACAAGCTTGTAATTTCTGTGCAACTCGTGTTGCAATGAGCTTGTAGGAGTGTGACTGGCTGAGTTCAGGGAGCCCAGGTTCTCCCAAATCAATACTACAGCTCCTGTAAGTGGGCAAATCCAACCCTTTCTTCCCTTCCTCTACAACTGCAGCATCTTCCTCAGTGAACAAACCCTTCAGATTCACTATTTTGTTGGAAGACACCTGGGTTTGGATAGTCCACACTTTACCAAAAGGTCAATAGTGATAGGAGAAGAAAATCTCTTACTCTCATCTCTGCCTTCTCTCTCCGGTGGCCAGAGCTGCAGTCTGCCCACGTGGCAAGTCCTGCCGGGCTGGTGGCCGAGTGGCCTCACCTGACCTGGCTCAGTCGCCTGCTGCCGTTTCTGCATAATCGCTTCACAGAGAAAAAACACGCTTTAATATTTGTCTCTTTAATTAAGAGTGCTCATTAATGCCCGCTGGAATTAATGACGAATACAAGCAGGCCATGCAAACATATTGAATTACAATATGAACTACTGAATCCATAGAGAAATGTTACCTATCAACCCTGCTGAAGAATTTGTAAATTGATAATATTTGATTTTGACCATTTACTGTTATTTTTATTAGATCTTGATAAATAAATATTGTGAATTTATCTTGATTTCCATCCACAGAAGTAGATATGTTGTTTTTAGAAGATGAGCCTTATCTCTAACTCTTTATTTTCAGCCGATATTTCTTAAATGACCTACAAACTAATTAATTTTCCCCTTGAAAATGTCCATTTCCCAATGATTATTAGCCCTCAGCAGGACAGCACAAAATATTGTTCTGAAGTAAGTGGGGAAAAACAAGCATTTAGTGTCAGAGCCCTTTTTAACTCAAAACTTCTTTTCTCTAGAGCTACCAGTGTATTTAGAGGATTACTGGATGCGTGTTGCCAGTTGAGATGATTAATTTGTGTCCAGAAAATTCAGGCCTCAATGAAACCTCCCCCTGGAAGAAGCCATTTGGCTGCAGCTTCCCTGGCCAGAGCTCCCCGCTTCCCCAGTGACAACTGGCACCTAATCCCCTGGGCCTTTAGAAAACCTCAGCTCGAGCGAGATGTTGTGAGACAAGGAAAAGAACCGTTTATAACACAGCATCCCCTTTTAGCTCCCTCTTGCCCCAAGCTCAGTGTAAGAGGGAAGGCGCAGCCTGCTCAGCCAGCCGTGGCTGCCCGCGGCGTTAGCAGCAAGGCCTGAGGAGGCCTCAGTACAGCTTCTGTGGCCCAGATGGTGCAAGGCTGATGGGATCTAAGTGATGTATTTCTTTTCCTATCATGGTTGGGGCTCTGCTCTGCTGCCTTGGCTTCAGCAGGGCCAGTACTTGTGAGCAGGAGGCTCCAATGCCTCCTTGGAGCTTCCTCCTGCGGAAGATGGGAGGAATAGTTGACTGCCAGCTTGGTAACCTCAACTACAAATTCTTCTCAGAAGATTTGCACTCACCAGGCTTAAGGATCTCTACAGTTTAAAATCTTCACAATTTAGCACAATTTACCTTCTGCACTGTAAAAGCCCAGAGATGAAGAGTAGTTGTGATGCGTATTTATACCCTTTTAGTAGCCAGTCAGCAAAGGAAGACGGATGAAAGTTCAGCTTTCCATTCATTGCAAGCAGATGTATTTAGACAGGCATGGTTATAAATTAAGATATTGCCCACAATTAGTATTTAGCTGTTTGGCTGCCAGCTTTTTATATAAGTATGTTTCCTAACAGATGTGCTAACTTTTGGAAAACTAACACTCTTGCAAGTCTTTGGGGGCAGTTTATATTGTTTTTCCCTTTATACCATAAGCTTCTATAAAAAATGTGTGTTCTGTCATTCTCATAAATCTTGAAGCCCAGTAGGAATATTGTAAAATTGCAGTTCAGTGTTTAATGTTCATGCTAGTCCCATGATATGGCTGATAAATAGTGGGGGAAGATGAGAAGTGCTGGTGATATGCCTTTATTACTAATGCTGCTTCTCCCCATTGTAGATTAAAAACTGAACCCAACTGCTTTCAATTTTCTGAAGCTAATTTCTGCAGCTCACTGACCTTTCAGTATATTGAGCTTTTCTTTATCTGTGTATCTTTGCTTTTATTTTTCAGGAGTCTGCACAGCTTTTTCTATTGCAGCCACCACCCTTTCCCCCATTAGCAATGCCTTTTCTTCTATAGGTACTTGATTGCATAACGCAGACCAGAAAGAAATTGCATGGAAGGAATGCTCCTAATTACTCACCACTGGACACACATACTGAGTGCTTAAGTCTCAGAGAAAAAAAAAAAATCTGTTTAGTGTTTTGTGGTAGTAAACATTTAACAACCCAGAGAGCTGCTGGTTCGAGGGATATCGAGTTAGGCTGCTAAGGCAACATCTCATGGAAAATGTATCCCTGATCCAGCCAGGCCCTGAAGTGAGTGCTCAGTAAAGTGGAGGAATCACCTGGCAAGCGAGGGGTGTTTCTCAGCTGCACCAGTTCCCTGTTCCTGCTCATGCAAGTAGCTGAACCTTCAAAAACAAGTGTCTGGTGCAGGCTGGAATTCAATAGGTGAAATGCCCTAGCCGGTTAAGTTGGTTTAACCAAATGCACAGCAAACAGCAGCTATGGGGCTACGTTGAACTCAGGGTAACATGTTTTGCTTATGGAGAATTCAGTGAACCCAGTGACACCTCTGTTGTGTGCAAATTGGACTGTGTGATGATCAGGTGTGCTTGGCATGCGTAAGTGTTTGGTGCATAATGAGACTGAAGTTCACATTAAGTCTTGTTACTTTATGGATAGTGTTTCAATTAAATGCATTTTTCTGATGTCTTGATTTTAGAAAATGTAATTAAAATATACCTGTTGTATCCTGTTCCTTAATTTGTTGTTTGATTAAAAATTATAGCTCATTTTCACATACCTCACTTCACATACCTCACAGCAAAAGCCACAAATAGATGGATTAATTTATGCTAATACACTGTGCTTCAGTATCAGCAGTATTTCAGCTGTATATGTTCTCTCTGATTCCTGATGGTCTACTAATTTAAATGCTCATTGTATGTATAGTTGCCTTGGAAAACTTATCATGTGTGGCTTCTTTGATTGTGCCTGCATTGGTCTTAATCTTTTTTTCTTTTTTTTTCCCCTCCTTCAGCTGTCAACTAAGCCTTAATCTCTCAAAGCTTCTCGCTTTGCTTGTTTACTATTTTCGGTGTTAATGAGTGCTGTTTTGCCAGGAGAGCTCACTGGTCGAGCAGTTTCCAAATTATACTGTATGCTCAATGCTTTAGCTAAGAGACTTCAAGAAGATGGCTAGATAAATCAGGCAAATTAACAACTGAACACAATTAAAGAGTCACATTTATTAACACTATCTTCTACAGTTTGTTTCCTACCATGGAAGGTAAATGCACTCTTACAGTGGATGCTGTACCCATTGGGAAAGCAAAGAAATCCCTCCTATGAGCAAGCAATTCTGAATTTAGTTGTATGCACAGACTTATGTTGTTTTTGGGGTGATTTCTAGCATATAGAGATGTCCTATTACTGTTACCCATAAATTCTGTTTTTTAAAAGCATATTTAATGCCCTACAGTCTTACTGCAGACAATTACAGTAGGAGAACACAAGTCAAAAGACTCTAAAATTAGACCTATTGGAATCTCTCTTCTACCTCCTAATCAAATATTAAATTCATAAAGAATATTTAAATACCTGAATATCCATTTAAAAGAAATCTTCAGTTCTACAGACAGACATTGTAGAATTTAAAAGGATATTGGACATAACTATCAGGAGAGAAATGGGTATAAATCCCAATGTTATTTTATTCTGTGAGACGTACAAGAGTCCATTTCTAGATAACAAGCTGTCTGTTCTTCCCTGCTGAGTTCAGTTCAATGGGAGAAGCATCAAACCACAGATTATCTATACAAAGCAAGTCCTTTTTCAAGTTGTAATTTTTTTTTAAAGCATGCGTTAGTTAAAGCAGATCCATAATCCCCTCTCATTGTTAACTCTCATCCTGGGAAGGGTACAACAGCCTTCATAAACATCAGGATTATTTTGGCCTGCTGTTTATTTTATCTGATAGAATATTAAATGAGGGAGTGTTTTTTATTTTACTCTCTGCTTTTAAAAATCAGACTCTTATCTGATGACAAATGTTAAACATATCCTTGTGTGTCATATTTTTGTCTTTAGATTGTTTGTAACTGTGCATGTCACAGACCTTTGTTCAATGACTAAAATTAACATTACTTGAATATGTGCATTTCATAGGTAAAGGGATCGGCAAGATTTCAGAAGCAATAAACCCCACCCAAAAGTTTCACCCCATTGAGGCACTTGAGCCTGGAACTGAATATACAGTTCGTCTAGTGACTAAGAATTGGGTTGATAACAATAGCATTTTTGAAGATGTAATTGAGACGAGGGGGAGAGGTGAGAAATGAAACCCTTCAAGGTGGTAAAGATTTATTTTGAATGTAAATAAATGTTGAGGTTATGTATTTTGATGTGCCCTGGCAGTATAAACTTAAATATCAAAGTCATAAAATAGGAATTTGCTCTGTGATTTTAAGTTCCCTCTTGCAGCTGAATGCCATCAGAGCATAAGTGCATCCATGGTTCTCAGTGAGATCTTACACTTTACTTGATACACAGTAACCTGGAACAATTAGAGACATTTACTGAACATAGTTTTACCTCCTGTGTGGTTTTGAAAGGGTAGTTTTGTGATATAATCCATGTTAAATGTGCTAGTTAAGTGGTTTGCATGTATCAGGTGCACTTTTAACTTCATCTCTTTCACAAAACTGCTTTTGCATGAGCAGCTTAACAATGCCCTGTTCAGCTTTCCTAGTTGGCATTAATCCTTTGAGTCAAATACTCTTTTAGTATTTCTTTTCCAAAACGTCTATATTGTGCCTAGTAGACGCTGTAGTCACCTTTGGTCTAAAAATGTCAGACTTGGAAATATTTCTGTCTTGTATTTCTTTAAATTGAGCACAGTATTTAGCGACAGTGATTCAATTAAAATTCAGTGAAGAAAATGTTAAGTACTTATTTTATGGAAAGGTGATGCCATTTTCATCTGGCTAATTTTCCTCTTTTTACTTTTCTCCTATTTTTGCAAAGCTTATGCTGGCATTTATGATGGAATTTCCACCCAGGGGTGGTTTATTGGACTGATGTGTGCCATCGCCTTGCTCACCTTGCTGCTGCTAACTGTTTGCTTTGTCAGAAGAAATAAAGGAGGAAAATACTCAGGTAAATGAATTCATTGTCATTTTGCTATGTTCACATGTTAATAACAAGCATTCTTCAGACTTCTGTCTCTGGAGGCTGCAAAGCCACAGGCAGAAACACCCAATTAGGATCTGTAGCTTTTGATAAATATCCACAGAGTGATTTCTAATGAACACAGGCAAATCTGTGCTCTCTGGGTGAGAGAGAGTGCTGGGGGCTGGTAAGAGATCTAGCCCAGGTCTTGGATACTGCTTGCTCCATCTTTTGGCATTTAATATACCGTAGAGTCAAGGTCCTTCCTTCTCAGAAGCACTTCTGAGCCTCTTGTCAAGGACCACTTGCATGCGCCCCTTCCAAAAAATCATTGCTACCCCATGTAATAACTGGCATGTGCTTCCAGCTGTAGCCAAATTGCATAACAAATGCATGTGACACTAAAAGAATTGCTACAATTTTCAAAGCAATAACTAAGACTTTGTATAATGCTTGCTGAATCTCTTAGAAATTAGGAAATAAGCACTCAGTGAAAATATGCTCTTTGAGTGCAGTAGGACATTTAGGGAAAGTGGTCCTCTTCCAGAGGGAGCTGTCGTTAATGACTGCCTCAGTTTCTCCACTTCCCTTTTCACCTGCAAAAAGAAGAGTCCATGACAGAACATGGCATACAGATCTGTGCTTTATTTTATTTGTACAGTGAAAGAAAAAGAAGATTTGCATCCAGATCCTGAAGCTCAATCAATAAAAGATGAAATCTTTGGGGAATATAGGTAAATAGGACTTGCTTTAACAACCGTTTTTGTTTGTTGGTTTTTTTTTTTTTTTTTTTTTCCCATTTCTGGATGTCATCGCCAGTTTTCTTTTTGGACATTTTGTAGCACGCAAGTAACGCTATTTTTTTCATTTTCAAAGCAAACCTCACTGGAGTGGATGATAGTAGGAATATACAGGTATATCCAGTATACTTAAATCCACCCAAGTTGGGATATAAATAAATGTTGGGTTTACTGGTTCATATTTTTCACATGCTTTTTATTTAGCTTTGTATGAATAATGTAAATATATTTGATAATTTGGGGTCCTGGTCTGATATCCGCAGAAGTCTATTGAAAGTTTAAAAAACAGAGATGGCAAAAAAAGAATACTCGCTACAGAAGTTTCTGTATGAGAACTGAAATAATTACTTTGCTTTAAAATAAAATTTACGGTAATATATTACTGTGGTATGGAGTAACATAAGTAACATGCATCATTATGTGACCTATACTGGAAAACCGGTGTAGCTGTCCTTAAAAGTTTCTGGAAAAACAAATCTACTTATATACTACATTATTTGTACTGGAGTAGGGTTTTTTTCTGCATAATTTCACCTTTATTTAATCTTTAATGCTTTCTAATGGGACAAATATTTAGAAAGGTAAGAAAGTCCTGAGGTTAACTTTCACCCCCTACCCCTAAATCCAAACTTTTTTTTTTTAGAGAGAAAAGTTCTCTAAGTCAAAAAAAAAAAAAAAAAAAAAAAAAAAGTTTTTTTTTTTACTTTTCTGCCATGTGCGGAAAAGTAAAAATTAATAATAAATATTCTGAATGTATTAATATGTGTTACTGGTTAGATATTGAAGAAGTAAACTTTGGGCATGTTTTTCTCTCCTTTTTTTTTCCTTAAATAACATTACCAAAACTTTGGTACAGAATTGGTATTAACAAGGATTGTAGTCATATAATTGCACATCTAGTCTAGAGCCCTAATATAGGGGTTATTTATAGATTTGTAGTTGACTTTCCCACTTCCTTTTGTATGTGATATTTTTCCTTTCCTTGATAGATAGAAAAATGTTTAAAAACACTGGCACATCCTGATGTTTTCTCTTACCTTCCACCCCTTGAAGCCACAGAGAGGCTTTAAGTAGTAATTTCACAGGAGCGGGCTGCAGAGGAGTATGTGATGCTGTAGCCATCTGCTCAGCTGCGAGCTGCTGACCATGGGCAACTCCAACCGTGCACGAAATGCTGAAATGTCAGAGCACTGGTCTAAGGGGGACATACGACCATACCTAATTGAGGGCCCTAAAGTAGTCTGAGGCATTTATGTAGAGCTCAGATAGGCTTCCCAGGCATTTTTTATGGAATAAGTTGATGCTCTGCCAAGTCTGGGTCCACAGGAGGTTGAAAATGGCCATGGGTGCAGGTGGTTTTGTTTGCTTCTCTAGAAATAAGTAAAGGTCACCCAAGTTCCACGTTCAAGCAGAAGGTAGACGACTTTGAGTCTTCTGCATTGACTGTAGAGGGAATGTCTAATGGACTTGCCTGAGTTTATTTCATTCTAGTTGTCGGTTTGTCCATTTCCTTTGAAGTGCTATTGCACATGTGCTGCATATTAGCAGATAGAATACTCTGAAGTTTTACAATGGAAATTCTGCATTATTCTTCCCTTTTTCACTCCTTTATCAGAGAGAAACTCAGTTAGTTACAGTGAGATAACACACCAGGGGAACAGAAGAAAAAAAAAATAGGAAAAAAAAGCCCACTTTGTTCTTTCCCTAAAATCAAATAAATGCTCACAAAGCAGTAAGATATTACCTCCAGTTTATGCTTCATTCCATAACTGATGAACCTCAGTTCATCCACCCACTTCAAAAAGAAAATGCAACAAATAAGCCCTGAAAATTGCTCACTGCTTGTAAAATGCAAATGCCTCTTTTGGTGAGGTACAAGAGGCTTGAACTAGGCTCTGCTCCCTGGAATAGATCCCTTAAATCCTTCCCTTCCCTTTTTATTTTCTGTCCTGCTTTATTCTTTCAAACAGAAAGCAGAATACAAGAGTTATTTTCAGTAGGGTTTCCCATTTGAGCCAGTTTTGTGAAGCACAGACTGATGTAGGTAGAAAATTCAGGCAGCACCTAGTCAAGGCGGATGAGCTGCCTGTCCCGAGCAGGAAGCAAATGCTCAGGCTATGGTGGATGTAGAACCCTTGTAGAAAATGTCTCATTTATTCCTCCCTGGTCCTGGTTTTCCTCATTATAAAAGAGCCGTTTCTGTGCTTGCAATAAAAGCTGGATTTTTGGAAAGATGTTTCTTTGTTTTGTAGTGACAGCGATGAAAAGCCACTGAAAGGCAGCCACCAGTCAATAAATGGGGACATTAAAGCCACCGGAAGTGCTGATAGTCTGGTAGATTATGGAGAAGGGGAGCACGGGATGTTCAATGAAGATGGTTCATTTATTGGCGCTTATTCTGGATCTAAGGAAAAAGGATCAGTTGAAAGCAATGGGAGTTCTACAGCAACTTTTCCTCTCCATGCATAAAATATTCATTTCTAATTGTGATATTTATCCTGACTAGTACTCCACAATGATTGGAAATAGGTGATTGCTGAATGAGTCAGCCAGGAACCCAACATCCAGGTAATATGAAAATAAGTCACTGCCACTAAAAGATGTTTTTTTAAGACTTTTCCACCCTAATTGTTTGAGTCTTGTCTTCTAACGAAAACCAGTTGAATCACTCCTTATTATACAAAATATGTCACTCAGTTTTACCAAAACACAGTTTCTTGGTGTTACATATGTATAGTTGCTTGCTACTCTGTTTGTTTCTTAGTTTTGGGATATGTTTCTCTGTAAAATATTTCTTTTCTTGTGTGACTGTTGTCACTTTGTACATACTTTTATACCCATTATTCCCTCATATATAACGACCTCAGCCATGGAAAAGTTAAACCATCACCAAAAAAAAAAAAGGTAAAAAGACAGGTAGCTCTACCAAGTGACACAGTCTTGCTGTGTCAATGCTGCTGAGGAAAAACATAATTTTAAATATTGGAGAAATATACGCTATGTATTATTTAATTTTTCATGAAGAAAAAACATTATTTGCTTCAGATGCTCTGAAAATTTCTTAGTGGTTACAGCTGACTGCAATTACCATTACTTAGAGATGCAACTTTATGCGTGGAAAATTTACTCTCAAAAGATAAAGTTGAGATCATGTGTATGAATCTTCTGTCCAGTAGCTGGCACTATTTCCTTAAATAAAGAAAGCTACAGTAACTTTCCTGTGGCAAGGTAAAACAGGGTTCCCATCTGACCATCATTAAAAAGAATTTTAATTTGATTTCCTGAATTTCTGCAAGCTGCATTTCTAAGCATAGGCTTTTTGCCTGTCTCATATCTGTATATTTGTGTGCTAGCATACATTTCATGGAGGCACTGTACATATGCTATTAATATTGACACAATTTAAAATCAGCCTTGTTTTATGAGTCATGATGCTAGCATGAGTCTGTATAGTTGTGTAGGAATAGGATTGCTTCTCATTGTGAGCTTGAACCAGCAAAACTAGTTTTCAGAAAGTGGAGTCGTGTAAGCCCGTCATAGGAATCTTTCTTCTTTCTAATATCACATAAATACATCTACCTGACTGTTAAGAGATCGTTTATTTTCAACCTTTTTGTTGTTAAATAAAATCAAAAGCAAAGAGGAAATATTACGGTATATTTTGGGTTATATTTGGTTTGCTGGATGCAGGTTTAAATCTCTGCTGCAGTTGTCTTTGCCTGTTGTGCTGTGAACACAGTGAACGCAGCAAAGGTGACCTCTGTTACCAGCACGTTTTTGTCTTTTAGTGTTTGGATCTCCTGGTTATCTGTAAGATGGCTTATGTTTTGATATCTCTTTCTTTGATTAGAGTATTAATGCTACTTCATTTCTTCCACTTACAATTTTTTTGAACACTGTTGTGAGAAAACTAGTTACTGTAGGAAGAATATGTCCTAAAAGCCATTTATATCCTGGTAGTAATTAGGCAAATAGTTCCGTCATGGTCTCTGTAACTTCCATGAAAGAAGGAGTAGAAGTAACAATTGCTCCCATTAAGAGTTTACAGATAACACCTAAAATTAAAAGTCTATTAGTTGCACATATAAATGCACTTTGTTACACATAGAAAGGCCATGATTTATAAGTAGCTACCCTTAAGTTTGTGCTCTCGGAGAGTTGTCCTCTCTGAAGTGGTTGAATTCTCAAAAGTACTCAATGATTTCTGAAAATAATAAGTCTTTGGTGCTGGATGCTTTTGAAAAGCTGTTCCTCTTTTATATTTTCACTCGTAATGACCTTGTCTGTAGCCTCTCTTTGGAAAAAGCAAATCCCCAGACCCCGGCGAGGCTGTGTGGATGAGTAGGAGTGGATCTGTGTGGATCTGCCCGGAGTCAAAAATAGTCCTGCTCCATGTCAGTGGCCTCCGTGATGTGAAGGATTTGACAGTCATTCATTCTTTATTACATATAAAGTTTTATTTTCTGCATTTCACTTAAACTGAATGCTGAAAAAGTCCAAAGTCATCTTCATTTAGAAAAAGAAGCGAGGTAGTAAATTGGAGGGATGTGAAAATTGGCATCTTGTCAGCAGAGACGGATTTTTCCACCAGGATCATTATCTGCTGACTCTTGCCTGCCATAACCTGAAAGAGATAAAGACCAAGAACTGATTAGACTTGTGCCAACCTTTGTTGCAAGCTTCACCCTATTTTTAATATATTTCCTTTAGGAATCGTCTGCCCTCACATGTGCTACTGCATGTTGATTACAGGCGAGTTTTGTTCTGTTTTCCCAGTCATTTTTATTGGAATGTTTTTATTTTAAATGGAGATAACTCCACTGTCTGACTCCTCTTAAATATTAAAGCTAATCCCTGAATCATATATCTCCACCACACTGAGGACCTCTGATGACGAGAGGAGGGTCAGTTCAGCTTTCTCCAGTTGCTGGAGAAAGAAATCCCCAGCCAGCATCTATCCAACGCAAAGCCCCTTCATGCTTTCCAAGGGGTGATGGATTTTCTCCCAACGCCAGCAAGGGCACAGACCCTCTCAAATAGCCCCTGTGGGGACAGGGAGAGACAAGGAACAAAACTGTCAGGTCCCCCAAAGCCGTGAAGAGCCAGGCAGGGTTGTGCTCTCTCCAAAGCCACCTTGTCCCCACCACAGCCCCACGGCTGGTGGGCCCAGCAGCGACTCAGCATTTGCCTCGGGTTTGGGTTGCTCCTCGTCCCCGAAAACACCTTGTTAAACAGATGCAAATTTCAAATCATATCAGCGAGTGTCAAGCTATCGAATAATGAATAAATCCCCTGTGCTTTCACTTGCTCCGGTGCTGCTAAGAGATGTTTACGACATTCCTGTGATGTGCTACTCATCTGTGCCGGTATGAGTGCTTTTTCTATTAAAATTTTAATTCAGACCCTTAAATCTTAATGTTAGTGTTTCATTATGCCTCAGGGTCTAAAAATCAGGCAGTGACAAAAAGATGTGCAATGCAGTTTTTACAGTGTGCACTGACTTTTGAGGAATTTGCCCAATAAATATTAAATTAATGGCTACAGCTCCTCGGGAATCTAACTCACATGAGCTTTCTTCTCTTTCTCACTCATTTCTTTCTTTTTCTTTTTTCTTTTTTTTTCCCCTCCTTTGAGGTTTGTATTTTATTTTTTAAGGGTGCCACTCATATAGCGTATCTTGAAAAGTGCAGGCCACTAATACTTTTTAGGAGATTTGCTTTCAAAAGTAAACTAACACTTTAAGCTTACAGTTTCTGAAGCAGTTGGTTGTTGGCAGTAGATGGTCTGTGTTTTCTTTTTAGGGCAATGTATTGCAGGTGAGAGGCAGTATGGATGTGTAGATTGAATTAAAAGTATCGATACTAACTGTACCACAACTTTGAAATAGTCCCTTAATCAAATAACTTTCTTATGCTGTCTGGGAGCATTTATTAAGTTTAGCTGATGGAAATCTGTAGTGATTTCCTTCATTAGTAGCTACCCTGGAACGGATAATCGCATGAGGAAGGGCCTGTGCTGCCGCTGCCGCAGTGTGAGCGCGCGGGAACCGGTCGTGCTCCGGTCCCTCTGCTCCTGCTGCCAATTCACTTGCGCCAATGGCGAGAGGGTTGGAGCATGAATTCAGATTGGTTGGGTTTTATGTTCAGATTTGGTTACTTTGTGGTGCAACGTGTTGCTATCTTTGCTGCCAGTATGAATGCAAGAGGGGAAATGGCATTTTTGGAGTTGGTGTCTCCGTGGACCCGGTGGAATTTGGCCCAGTGACTGGGAGCAGATCCCTGGCACTGTGGGAGCACCAGGATGGGAAGGTGGGAGTGAATGTCACTCCTGCAGAAGGGGCTGAGGTTTTCACTGTGCATGTGGATACATACATGTATAAGTATCATAAATAACTTCTCTGTTTTAAGTATTTCCAATTATTATATCATTTAATGATTTATGATACTTATTTGGTTGTGGTCTTACTACACAAAATTTAACAAGTTGCTCTTTTTCTGAAAACTGCTTCCATTGACCAAACGGGTCACATCCATCGCGTGAGAGATTTTAATAGAAATATTCAGGATGACATTCTTTTTGAAATGAAAACAAATACTAGCACAATCTTTCTGTACAAGAATTTTTTTTTTTACAATAATTCCTCATGTAGTTTTATAAACAAGAGAATGAATTCAGTAATCCTCATGCACTTCTGAAAGGAAATCTCATCGTAATCTGTTTTGTAGTCATTGCTTTGCAAATGAGTGGTTAGCCTAGATTATTTTAAATACCTGTAAGAATGGATGTACAAAAAAGGAAATTTTTCTTCATGACAAGAATTTTTTCAATTCATTTAACAAAGTATCAAGTCCTCAAATGCATCTCTTAAAATGTTAGTGTTTCAAAATACAGCATACGAACCATGTTGGAGCATCAGCACGTGTTTACATTTCAGCTCATGGCTAAGTTTCAATTATACTATCAAATGAGTGAGTTTTGTAGTCTGCAGTAGCGTATTTGGTATTCATGCAGGAAACATTATGTGGGTTTGAGCCAAAGCATACTGTGTTTCATTTAATATTATTGTTACTTTAAATGAGATACTTTGTAATTTCATGAGACAAGATCAAAGCAAATGTGTCACCATTACTTCGTTACTTTTTGAGCTGAATGTTAGTGCATTTATTAAAGTTTAGAGAAATGTGTTTGTACTGTAGTTGCTGTTTGTATCATGCATATGTGCACGTACAGTTTTAAAAGATATTTTCATTTTACATGAAATTCAACTTTGCTAATAAAAGTTTGACTTGATGTAATCTTCAAAGGCCTTAGGTGTAATTAGCAAATTTGTTGTTTTTTTCCTAATACCACTTCTTTGACTGTATGGGTTAAACTCACATGAGCTCGCAGGCATTTGGGACTTGAATCAGCGCGGCGCAAGAAATGCCCAGCAAAATGAAGTTATCAGGTATTAAAATACACTTTATTAGCAGTGAGCGGATTCCAACAGTAGGACATACTAGGCCTGAAAAAAGGAGAAAACATCTAATCCTAAACACTGTAATACAGCAGTAGGGACTGCCAGGACTACTTGCTACCTGTCGTCTTTAAGGATCACCGAAGTAATGGTAATACTAATTTTATATTAATTTTATATTAATTAACTTTATAAAAACTCAGACATCTAGAAACCCAGTCATACTTGCCCCTACCTTGCTATCCCCTAGCTAGAGAAAATCCTACTCTTCCTATTTGTCTGGAATTTAAATCTATAGATTCATTATATAGAAATCTAAGAAATGTTCTTTGTTTGCCAAGAAAAATAGTAAAAGATCAAAAGTATCTCTATATTTTTCTAGTTTCTTTTATTATTATTATTTGCTCCTAACATTCAGTGTTGCCATATTTCATCAGCTCTTCTTTGGCTGCCTGTGGAGACAGGTTAACCAGTCAAGCAAGCAGCATTGCCCAACTCAGACAGTTAAGCCTGTCCAACACCTTGAGCAGCAAAACCGCTGCTTCCGAGGGCTCATTAGAAGTCAGCAGACAAATTCATGCTGGCTGATATTGCTGCAAAATGTGTTTTTCAAACAATGATTCTTAACAGAAATTTGAAAGTTGTGTGCAGTGTTAAAGTGTGAGTAATAAATTGCTCCCACAGAAAATAATCCCTGGCTGCCAACCCTGGGATATTTCCTATATTGTTGTTAGAGCATTTCTCCCAGCAGGAGCGATCGTAATTTTCTCCCTCATGTGTTTAGGTCCTTCATTTCAGTGAGGAGGTTTCGGGACTTCTCTAGCTCATTCTTCCCCTGTGTAAGCCCTGTGTGCAGTCAGCGCAAATGCAGAAACAACTGGGCAGGTAATAACTAGCTTCACCTTTCGGGACGGCACCAAGGGCATCCCAGGCCTTTTTTATTATTATCCGTGCCCTGGCATAATGAGATTTGCACGTTTCTCCGTGTCGCAGTGGGAGAAGCAGCCTGACAATCATGTGCTTCACTGGAGGGAGGATAAAGACGCGGCGGCGCCGGCTGCCGGGCCGCGAGCCCTGCGCGTCCCCGGGCCACAGATCCCCTAGCAAAAGTGTAGGAAGAAAGTACACGGCCAACAGACCTTTATTTGATATTTTGCTTTTAATGAAAAGTTGGTATTTTTATTTTCATGAGCTACACATTAGAGGCCCCACAGGACACTGTTTGCCGTATTCACATCTTCTCCAGTATGACAATAAAATGTCATTACTTTGGGACTTTGACTCTCTGTCAATAAGCCGGAAATGCAGCTTAGGAAGCCAGAGATCCGGAGGGAAACGCGGTGCTGCCGACACTGCCCGCCAGGAAGGGGACATGGGGCGGGACACGGGCAGATGCTCCGTGCAAATTAAGTGCCCAAGTGACCGGTGGCCTTAGGGACGTTGTCCAAGGAGCAGGGACGATCTTCCCTCTTCCGTAAAGCAAACGATCGTCTCCTTGAAGAGCAAGATGGCCCCCAGGACACGTGTGGCCACAGGGACATTGGGCTGCAGGCGCCATCTTCTCCACGAGGATCGTCACGGACACCAGGTAAGAGTTACTTAAACAGGCAGCATAGTAGCAACTTTCAGCATTAAGTTACTGTTATTTTTTATAATATAATAAATAAAACACTGCATTTATCCTGAATCAACAGGTAGCAGAGGTTGTTAGGTCGATAAATTGCCCTGAAGTGCAGGGGAATTGGATCCCTTCAGAGGCTGGAGGGCCAGGCTGAGGTGGGGGAGCGCTGGGGAGGCCGAGTCGCCGGCGCCATCCTGAGGGGTAGGGAAGCGCCACGGGAGTTGGGAAAGCTGCCTGTCCTTGTGGTTTTCCCAGCAGAAACTACCCAAGGGACTTCTGTCCAAGTGCTGAGGGAAAAAAAGGGTGGGGGGGGTGGGGGAACGTCCAGTTCAAACTGTGCTTGACTGAGAATTTTAGGTTTAAAAATCAAATCCCCCAAGTTTGTGGAGCCCCAAAAACGTGGATCTTGAATGAATTGTAAACCTTAAAAATCAGTGGGTAATGAAGGAACACTAAACTAATTCTGTGGAAATGCTTGGGTTTGATGCTGTGGCTGACACTTTCAAAATGGAGACTAAATGTCTGGATGAGAAGCCCACATGCTGGCTAATTTTGTTCAAACTTCATGAAAAACATGTGTTTCTTGGTCCTGTTATTTACAAGTTTAAATTTATCTTCATCAAGCCTTGCAGAATGTTCTGAACATTAAAATTTTCTTGCACCTATAATTTAACTTTCCTGCTAAGGAAAAGAAGCCATAAGCTCGACTGCCTTGTTTCCGCAGCCCGCGCTCAGCGCTCATCGTATCCTCAGGTTTCTGACAGTTTGACAACATGTCTCCGAATCCATTTCTTCTCATAATCAAGATAATAACTGCTAAGAAGTGATAGATTTCGCTGCAGTTGA